TTTTACCTGGGGGCCAATGGTGACCTTGTATTTGTGACTAGGTGAGTCCCCACCAATCACAAATGAGTTTGGTCCACTCTGCTGGAGGAGGTAGAGTCTTGCATGCAGCGCCCTCTCTACCCTCTTCTGGAGAATCTCCTCCGCTATGGCAATGCTGATCTCTCCTTGGGGGGAGGGGCTTCGCTTCAGTGAGGGGGAGGGACTCCGCTTCAGCGAGGAGACAGGTGGTGAAGGAGGGCGTGAGCTCTGGGGGGGTGCCAGAAAAGTAATGTCAGTCATTCCTTTGTTTTGAACGATTTCTTAAAACATTTGAAAAAGAAGAAGAAATTTTTTTTTACGATCATGTCCACTGTCAAGCTTTCGTTCATGGAATGAACTTTACTTTATCCTGTGCCACTAATGAATTTTAAATTGCAGAGGTGGGAAGTACCAGTAATCAAAGTTCATGTGCCTGTGCTCAGCTCAGTTAAAGGATCCCACCAAAATGTTACTATTTTTTACAAAAACACACTCATGACCTTTCTCTCTATATTCCAAATTAGTCACATTGGAAATTGTGCAATTTGATCATGTATCATGGAGGGCATTACAGTACAACCTCCGATTCCAAGTTGGCCATTTTAGTGTGTACAATGTACCACATTTATCACAGACCGATTTTTCCGTGTAACTGGCCTCAATTAAAAGCTTGATTGCTTAATTGTTGCATGCTAACAACGATCAGCAATTCAATATGATTTATTTGTTAGCTGCTCCATGTACAATGTACATGCATGTAAACTTGAAGTTGTTTTAACAGGCACATTCATTTGATGTACTGTAGCTTCAACTTCATCCTTACCACAGGTGATATTCTTGATCTGTGTCTTGGTATCCTAGGTGATGTAGGGGAACCTGAACGACAAACAACCTACAAGAGAAAATAACCACTTCTAAGACGTAGCAGTGGACTGAAAAATCCCCTTAAACTTTGGAATCTGCCCTCTGGTAAATGTAAACGCAGGTGACTTGATTCAACGTACATGTATGCTACAGCTGCAACCAAAAGAACAACACTAATATTACAGATTCTATTTGGAACACCTTTCTGCTGAAATGTTTTCAGCTGATTTTTATTCGATTCCTTGATCGACCAGACATCAAACTGTGAAAGCTTTCTTTTAAAAAAATTCTCATTTACATGTCAAAATACAATATCCACTGACGTCAAGTGTATCCCATCACATAAGCACGGTTTGACTACACAATATATGTACGGTAGGTTTATATTCACTTGGACACATAGTAAATGCAAACTGTATATGATCTCTATGATGGGTGAGGACAGAAATTACTCCCCGAAATACGACGGAACAAAATCTCATATGATTCACGGGTGGGGTGGCCTTGGTGATTCAGAGAGACCTGACGTCACATTCCCAGGCACGCAATCACATACAAAAAAAACATTCTTCGACGAACATGGATCTCCTAATGGAACACAAGTGCCGAACATTTCAGAACATGAATCATTTTCAAGACGTGAATCACAACGGTGGGTCTAAACAGAGTCTTTGCAGCAAATTCACGAGAGTGCGTCATTTGTTAAGGGTGGGGGGGGTGGGTTGGAAAGAGGATGGACTGACAGTCATTCATCTGGATTGGATGCATGTGAAATTGCTCTCCCAGGCGTGCTTGATCTACCCACCCTGTTGTAATTGAATTGCTGTGACAAAGAAGCCCAGGGTTGCATTAATTACTGAGATGGTCATATAGACGGGTGAGGGTGGTAGTGGACTCAGAAGCTCAGGAGCTTGTTTGTTTTACAGCAGTGATATGTAACAACCTCCAAAATTTGTAGTCACTTTACATTCAAAACTGCATCCAAAACAAATTATGTGAATTGTATGTTTTCAGACCAGTTTAATTTCCTTACATTTTACTAAATCGGCATATTTCAGACTGATTCTACTACAAGTATGATGCCGGAAAAAAACTATGCAAATCATGAAAACGGTTGTTTAAATTGTAAAAAGATTACATGTACCAGATTGTTCGTTGTGGCATGTGGTGTGTGCTTTAACGTTCAATCCATTTTCTTGATTTTTACTGTATTTTGGTCTTCAGCAATTTACACATTAGAGCTGAAACAAGCAAAAGAATGTTACTTCAAGGCCTCCGTAGACAATGAGACTGCTTTCTCAGACACATTATATGTACATGTATGTAATTAGGAATGCTGTCTTTATATCACATTTGCATTGCAGTGGGAAAAAAGGTGCAGATGCTCATCAACCACAGCAGAGTATGAGAGTAAGGTCCAAGAGTCAGTTGCCACAGCGATGCTTTGTTTGGCTGCTGACGTTGGCCTCTGCCTGGTAACGAGGCACAAAATGCTGCCTGCCTCTTTGCTATGGTTACAGTGTGTACACGACACATCCACTGCACGTAATGGGTGGTACTCACTGACGGATTTGTTTGTTGTAATTTTAACGATACTCTCTATCTCACTGTTTTGCCATTGATACATACATGCTGTATGCATACATCTACCCGCACGTGTAATGTACATACATGTAGAATTCTTGCAATATACAGATACATGCACAGTACATGTATGTGGGATTTACTGTGACATAAACAGACTTGTACATGGATGTAAAATAGGCCAAAATCAAAACTGATTAAGTCCAAATGCCATCAAAAGTTCTGTCAATTCAATTTGGCTTATCAAAGACTATGACTACCGACCTGACAGACTACATTTGCCTGTAGCAGTGTAGGTGACTGATGGTTTACACATGAACGAACAAAGTTGAAACCCTTACCAACTAACCAAAAAACTAAATTACAAATAGTATACAAGGGCATACCCGCTTAACCAGCAATATTATGAATAAGATTGTAGAGAATTAAAAACATTACACTATAAAACTTAATATCTAATCAAAATGCACTCTTCCATCCAAAAAATCTGATCTGAGTGCACCGTAGTACGTTGTATTGGTACATGTGCATGTTTGATGTAATCATTTGATGGGCCTGACAGAGAAATTACCACAGAAATACATGTCATCCACATGTACATGGACGTTTCTGAAGGACTGTATTTCAAAGTTTTCACGCCAGGCGATGAACCTGCGCAAAGGGTACAACAAACACATTCTATTGAGGCATTGCCAGGTGCAGCATTTGCCCACTGTAGCGGTGCACTAACCCATCATGCTGGCATTGCAAAAAAAATTGACGTTTAAGCTGAATGCTTGACACTGAAAGTTACATGTAATACTACATGTACAAACATGTGACCTCCAACCATTTTGTACATTGGAATAACTATTCCACAGGTGCTCGCTCTGGTTTAACCTTATCTACATGTACAGTGTACATGTACATGTACTGTACTGTACCATTAACACCATTGTTGGTAACTGATGATATGCTATCCAAACACTAACAAAGCCCTTGCTGATAAAAATTTCCCGCCAAAATCGGGAGGGCATTGTGACATCATCACTCGCACAATGCGCCCGGTGGCTCGTGACAAACTGCAGCGACAGGAGTTGGCCATTTCGCACACGAGGCTTTGTCAATAAATGTACAAGCAATCGGGCGTGCACGTGCTGTTGATCTGCCAAGTGCCGTAGGCCATTCCACACGATCAAGGGAGTTTACTTTCAACAACCGTTCAACTGAGTCATGTTGGAGTTTGTACATGCTGAAGAAAAGAACTTGAATTGACCACACTGACCCTAAGGAGTATTTAACTTGATCCAATTTATAATGATCTATTGACATTACCAAAAAAAAAACACATACACATTGTAGGCATGGTATGGACTTCAACCAAGCGAGCAATAACCTTCTTTTTGATTTGTATTTCTAAAAAAAAATAATTTTAAGTGTAAGGCAAAGGATTGAATTTTATTTTTGTGGAAAGTTGATTTTTGCTAAGTCCATTTTCCATTGATAAAAACATGTTTTTGAAGAATTCACTGCACTTATGAGTTTCTTCAGATCTGTGAATCACACTGACAAAATCAAATTTTCATAATGAACACTCTGTAGTTTTGTGTGATAAATTCCCAAAAGTTACTTGGGCATCGCTGTTGGAATTCCCAACAGTACATGTACGAGTGTTCACAGCCACATTCCACAGATACAGATGTTGGACTTCGAACGTACATGCATACATGTGCACTATCGTATAGTTTACAATAAATCAAAACTTAGCAGGTCAAAACACTACAGATCCATTCATAACAAATAGGTGGCCAAAGTAAACATACATGTACTTTAATCAGTAACTGTGTCTGGGCACCCAACCTTGTGGATACAGCCATTGAGCACAGATTTTGATAACCCACACTTAAATAGTTTCAGCTGATAACGTTCAAAAAGTTGTAACCGTCAGTTTATAGTCGCTCTAAGCAGTTTTCAGTGAGGATTTTACTCATCCAAATACTTAAAAGATGAATAACCATATTTGAATGCATTAGACATTTCATTTTGTCGAATCTGTTGTTACTGACAAATTTTAAATGTCACTGTGAATAAGTAATGAATCATGCATACTACAGTGCATCAACGTATTCTTTTACAATCTCGTAAATTGAATTTTTTTTCACAGTATACAAAAAATATCATTAGAAGAGACTTTTAAAGTAAACTGTCCTCTAAGATCAGAGAACTGTTGAATACATGGTACGAAAAAAAAGTGTTGTTTGTTTACCTGTTGTGCAAAGACGGAATCTGGTGTCTGTCTGGGTGAGGGAGACCGTTTTGTCCGAAGAGTACAGGGCCTCTTTGCCGCATCAACCTTGGGCCCAGAGTAGCCTGAACTTACTGGGCGCGAGGAAGGAGAGGGAGGTCTTACGACCTGGGGAGGAGAAACAAACCACAAGATAATGAAACTTCACTGGTGTTTTTGTTTTTACTGTTTATTTTTTTACCAGATGCATTTAAAAAAAGTATAACTTGTGCCAATAAAAAGTATGAGGTTGGCAAAAGTTGAGGTCAAGTTACAGTGAACACTTTTTTGTTTTTGTTGCTTAAGAAAATCCGAGTATACACATACATGTACGTGTATGGGTAGCTAATTAAAATTTGTGGGGTTTCTATTTAAAAACTCACCATTGGTCCCCTGCCCCGTTGTTTGTCCTCACCATCCTTTTTCCCAGAAGGCATTGCTCTGAGCCGCTCCCTGATTCGCTGTTTTTCCAGTGGGTCTTCCATCTTGGCCATCCACTTTTCTTTTTCAATCATCCTATGGACACAGAATAACAACAGCGGTATGATCGATTGATTCCAATGTCACATTTGAGGTCCACTGTGCCCATGGACTGGCCTTTTAGAACGGAATACAATGTAGCCATACCTGACAATCTGCTTCACTCGGAAGTTGAATTTTCTTGCTGTGGCAACCATTTTTTTAACTCTCAAATATGCACGTGCAATGTAACTTTCAGAAATGCCTGAAGAGAGCAACTTTCTGAGGCTATATAGGCACCCAATGGCCATTCTGGAGGTAAGCTCCTAACCCAATAAGGTTAAGCCCGGACGCATTGTGGCTGAATATGGGAATATGGGGCTGTTTTCTTGAATTAATCATCCTGCGGAAAACTGACTGTAAAAGGACACGTCCACAATAATGACCTCATCTCAAGGAAATCCCTCATTACCAACCACGAACACGTTGCAAAAATTCCATCAATCCAATCAAGACATTTCCATGGACCACACATTGCACGGTCCCATGAAAACAGTTTTGTGACTTTTGTGTCCAAGATATCATTTGAATGGCAGAAAACTTTACTCTACTAGAAGATACATGTATGAACCGCACCTCAATTGAAGCTCACGAAGCAAAGATCTTGAATTCATTTTGGAAATCACAATCTACGTTTCACGGTGGTCTGTTTTGTGACTCTTCTTCCTATATTCTGTGTACCAACTGTACAGTACACGTACATGTACACATCTCATGCATTTAAGCTGATGGCACTCTAGGTATGACGTCCACATTTTACACCCACAACATCGAGCATGTAAGCAGGAACTGGTCACTTCCTACTGTACTTCTGCAAAACTTTGGCACAGTGAGGGTCAACTTCGTCAGGTTTAGAACAGTAAACAGGAAGTTTAGTGTCAGCCTTGTCACAGGGCAATACAACAGGCATACATACTACAGGGGCCACATGCAGACGTGCGATGCGCGTTACAAGAGCAAATGTGCTACCTACATGTAAACTTGTCAATTTTAGGTAATAAATAAAAGTCTTCTTGCAACTTTCAGCCTGACTGCTAACTTTTATGAATTTTGTACAGAGCTTACATTAAGTTAAAATTGGAATGGATGTGCCTGATGAGTGCCGGTAAGTTGTCTGCATAACATTAAAACTGGCAGTGGTACCAAACTGGTCAACTAGCATAATTTTGTATAAATTATTTTATGGTCAAAAATATGATACTGAAAAATAACACAAAATCATAATAGGGCCTAGTAAAAAATCAATCAAATCATGGCAGAAATTCACAAAGTAGCCTACATTTCCAGCATAGGCGTACTGCATAGTCAGGACAATTACGTGTAGGCCTAATGCGTGGGGGCTGTGAAGTGTAATGAAGTAAAATCATTCAAGTCTTTTGAAACTATGAAAAATATGATGAATGTCAACAGAAAATAGCAGCACTGTTGGTAACTGAACAATTCCATTACCCATTCAAGTTGGAGCATCCACAACTACCAGTCTCCGGCCCAGCGCCCACGGTTTTGTTTACTCCGCCGGCCCCGGATGACGCAACTGATTGCCCCGCACAAGGAGCCGCCCTCGCCACGCCGTCACCGCTACAGCTCTTCGGTGACTGGTCCCTTTTCCTTCGCGATCGATTTTTGCTGGATTCTGGAGAAGGATCGCGACTTGAAATCCCTCGTTTGGACTTATCTCCTCTAGATTCCATGAAGAGTCCAGCGCAGCTGAAACAAACTTTAAGCTCCAGAAAAGTTTAAAAAGTAAATGCGGTTCGACCAATCTAAAAAAAAATCCAACAGCGTCTCCGTACCAGGGTAACCGGTCTTCGACGAGGCCGACCCTGCACCTTGCCGAAATCGCTGTCTAAAACTGGAAGTTCACAGCCAAAATTACGTTATCCCTGGTGATCATTGGAAGATCAAAGTGGCTCAACTGTCGAGACAAGTCACAATCTAACGCCCACATCAATTCAACAAACCGCAATTAAATCCGCTGACAAGCAATACACGGTATATCCCCACGTAGTTTCCAACAGACTTCTACAGAATCCCACTCCACCTCGTGTTTTGAATTTAGGAATGTGTGTTTCGCGCATGTGCTTACCGCCGTTGCGTTAACAAAAGCTTTTGAATGAGATCACCTGCTATTTTTAGCTCTCAAATTTTGGCCGGTGGCCAATCTCTTTTGTTGTCTGACGGTGAGCACGAGGTACAAAAGCCAGCCCGCGAAAAAATCGATAATGAACGGTGTCTCCCATCTCCATGGTTTCGTCTCAATGCTATGGTGGCCGAGCAAGAACGATTGGCTCCTATCATAGAGCTCCCGATAGTCCCTTGTTTCTATTTAATCCGTAATCTTTCTCTGGAGGAACAATACGAAATGTAGATACCATCCTTTGTATGGCAAGAAACCCTAAACAGACTGGAGAAATCTGACGCCCCCCCCGTGGAAATCTTGCCACCGAAACTGCTGTAAATGTCAAATTGTCATCATAAACAGTCTTTACGTCGGTTTTAGGCCTTGTTTACATCTGCATATTTTATACATGTAATTTGCATTTATTGAATCATATGTTAATGTGTATGCATTATGTTTCATTCCGTTTTTGTTTGATTTTTTAATTTTCCAAACTATTAGAAATGACATTCAAGATGAGAAGGGAAAAAACAACTTGATAGAGAAAATGTATTTCGACAAGTTTGCAAGACAGATCCATATTTTGTACACAAGCGTATTGATTTTTTTCTACGTAACATGAAAACGCTTTGTCCTATATCATAGAGCAAATTTGGCATCAAACGTTGCGCAAGACTTTAAAGAAATATTTACATGATAATCCACGCACCTGTTTCATTTCCAGTCAAGTGGGTACACTGTTCCGTTGACATTTTTACAAAAATTGAAAATATGAATAAATTATGTATAATTCACTAATTAATAGACCTATGCACTTAAAATAAAAAATAAATAAACTTGTTGTCACTTAAGTATCTAAATAGACATGTTACCCTATCTTCGTGCAATTCGTGTCGATTGTGCATTCGCTATCTCCGAGATCTTGAGGATCATTAAAGTAACCCCTCCCCTGTGAAAACACTCCCGAAAAGTCCAGTTTGAATGGAGTTAAGGGATCAATGCGACACAGTTTTCCTAGAATCCTTGGAATTTCTTTCCTTGATTTTTTTTTAAACTTGTAAAGTACCGATAAACTTTTTATTCAAATTTTACAATGGTTTTCCACACAAGTGAGGGTTAGGCCTACTATCATGTGATGTTAATCTAAGAAGACACCGTTCGATTTGCATGTTTTCATGTTTAAATTTTGAACCCCAAATTTTTTCTTTGAATACATTCTTAGCAAAGGTTGCTCGCTGGCTTTGTTGCCATAAATAACCAAGGCAAGAAATCTTCAACTTGAGCGAAGTATACAAAATCTATAGCAATTTTGTTTGTTTTGTTTTTGAACAAATCAGTGCAACACTGAAGCTCAGTGCTTTGGATTACATCATATAGCTGCTCATGAATATGTATTTCATAAAAGTATAAAAATAGAAAAGGCACAAAGCTATACAGAAAAAAAATAGCAAAACAAAAATTGAAAATCGGATTAAAAGAAATACAAATATACAATTGCAAGGATTTTAGTAAAATATTCTATTAAATGGTCTCATTAAGGACGTCTTTCTTTGTGTTTCTTTCAATTCTTACACTTCTTTCAATTGCAAAGCTCTTTGGTTTTATACAAATATCAAGTTTTATTTATGTGACAAGCAGTGATAGCATTCCACGCAGAAGGAATATGCTCGAATTGATTTATGCACAAAAAATGTTTGAGTGTTTGATATATATGCTCTTCTAAAATCCTTTTTTTTTCAGTGATTCATTACTATTGAGTATTGCGACACTTATTCAACTAACAACCTTGTGCCAGAAATGTTTTTGTTACTGAATAAACAGTAACGAAAAACCTCTAAAAAATGTGAGTGAATATGTAAAGGTTTTAGTGCTTTTTATTTTATTGATTAAATTTATCGCAGGAGGGCATATTTTAAAATGGAAAATGGATTGGAGAAGACGCGCGCAACCAACAGCTCAGGGAAAAATTCAAAGGGAAGAGGCTAATTATTAACTATGATTATAAGCTTTCTTTTTTGTTTTCAAAGTTTTTTCATTCGAATTCGTAAACGGTATTTAAAGCGCCTCCAGAAGTTTTGATTTCAACGCATAAACACTACAATGAATTTAGTCACTGGTCATTCCCAATGATTAACGGCCATTTTTTTCACATTTGACCACTAGATGTCGCCAGCAGTGGAATTCGTTTCATTGTGATCATACATGTAGGCCCACATGTAAATTAAGGATTGAAATAGTCTTTCTTCGATTCGATTCGATTCGATACTTTGGTGTACAGCCATGCGGAGTGTTTGGCCCGCAGACCCCGCGGCATATTGGAAGACAAGAAATCAAAGGTTGAAGAACCAATTCAAAATGACAAGATGGACTGAACTGACTGTGAAACGTGTGAACATATGAACACATTTTGCTTTTCACATTGTATATAGGCATAGGCCTACGTATTTCTTGCATGAAATGCAAGGTAGACAGCTCCAGTCGCCTATATAACCTTATTTCTTTTAGTTGCTGGCACATATTACCAAATGAACGTACAGATAAGTATGGGCAAAATATAGGCCTTACTTTTAAAGTACCTTTAGGGTAGAAATGAACAGACGTAAATGTGAAAATACTGTAGAAAGTATGCACACGTGACGAATGAAGTAAACGTTGATCGCAAGATGACGAGACGTACGTTTGACGAAATACGAAATCGAACTGTCTTTTCAAGAGAAGGACGGTAAGTGTATTTAATAAAAGCGTTTGCAAAACGGGCAAAAATGAAGGACGAGAAACAAAATTAAACATGGGATATAAAAAGTCGTCAAATTTAGAGACGAATTTTAAGTTAATCGTTTATGAATTTGAACGAGCACAGTTTGAAAAATTAATGTGCGAGAGAACCTGTATTAATAATTCTAAATGCAAAATATTTTTCCAAGATGAGAAAGATTATGCCCCATCCGTATGTTTTACGAGATTACAGGCGACTTTCCATTGTGTACATGTACGTTTTCTTTTACGCTGCATACGATTGGTTCATAGGATTCACTTCAGACACATGTGTTGCGGTCGGCTGTCAAAATCACCCCGTGAGCGATTCACTGATAATGATATAATACGCAACGCTTGATGCAGGTGTTTACGCGCATAATTTATGGAAAGGTGCCTTTACGCCCCTTATGGGCTAAGTGCTCCTTTATCTGGTCGCCACCCTCCCCTCTTTATAAATGCTGCATCTCAGTCCCCTTCCGATGTCAGCCTTATTCGAACCCTATCCTGGAAAAGCGGACTTCAGGATTTATTGTTAAAATTCTAATTAAATGGAAAGAATTATTTTTATAAAATGAAATTTAACGGTCTTGCATATAGAATAGTTGTCATGACAATAATGACACTCATAATTTTTTTTCATCATATGAAGTGTGTTTCGATTCTGAAAAGAGACCAGGCTTATTACAAACAGGCAGTTTCAGCCCGGTGATAAACAAGATCGCGGAGAAGTTGGCAATCTAAATTTCATCCAGTAAACATTGTGATAATAATTGTGTACTGTTCCGGAGTGACAGGCACCGTGACTGTAAGACGGAAAAGGCCATCGGAAATGTCCAGTGAAATCTTGCTAAATTGGTTCATGTTATTACTCTGTACGTGTGCGTGCAGAAAATTTTGATTTATTTGTAGGCCATTTCGGTCCCCACTCCACAATACTTTTTTCTAGGTAGAAGGGTGCAGAAAAAAACAGGGCGGTGACTCTTTCACCCGCAAAATGTTGTTGCCCTTTCTCTGGGCTAGCGGCTTACAAAAATAACGATATTGATCAAACCTTGGACACATTTCACGGGTCAGTTCCACTTCTTATAATTTTACATATTTGTCTTAATTTGCCAAACCTGAACAAAGTAACCTTGAATGCAGGATGACTGCTAAAATTGATCGAGCCAGCCTTGCTGTTGAACTTAGAGATCAGTGTTGGACGTGAACCCCTTTCGGTCAACTTGCACAGCGCCCTCAAGGGTCCAAACCGCCAGTTTGTCAACTTTTCGATTGATTCACTATTTACTGGGGTTTTCGAAATTTCCTTTATAAGATATATTCAAAGAAATCACGATGTGAAGGTGGTGAATGCAACTAAAGGTCAATATAGATCTAAGTATTCACTTTCCGATCTGATTGAACCTCAAAATATTCCAAGTAGTTGAAATTTACGGAGTAATAAAGCATTGCCAGGAAAACTTCCCTCTTTTTAGTAGTTGACTTGCCTGATGTTTACACGTCGTTCTTGACAACACATGCACGGTAAACCATAATACGAAGCCCGTACGTGATGCGAACGGCCGGATTAAATTGATTGATCGTAGGACAACCGATTCACAAAAGGGGAAATTTTGGGCCTACCACTTACGTTACCACCATTAGGTACAAGTACTGGCGACTGCATATAGGCCACATGGATGTTACATAAAAAATGCTGCATGATCCCAAGTAAGTATTGATGAAAAGTATTCGAACTGTGCTAGAAAATTGATGCAGGGCCTACATCATTGTAATTTTTGTAAATTGCAGGCTTAGCCAATATGGTCTAACTAATTAGTACTAAACTGGGCCTAAGGCCAACATGGAAAGCAGTCATAAACATGTAGCCTAGCCTAGGTTGAAGACGTAAGCCAACAACAAATTTCCTGGTCCCTCAACCCTCACAGGCCCATACTATTTTATTTGTAACCTTGTTTCACACTTCTACCATCATGACCATTTAGGTCTACATATGTACTATGTAGGCCTACCGGTATAGAGCAAGCCTATCTGTCAGTCTAGCTTAAATTGTATTCGCATGTTCATTATCAGTAGGCCTATGCCTGGAATTACTCAGGTTGCTAGGTTTGAAATCCACAGATTATATCTCCTTTTCAGCTTAGGATCCTCATACAACAATTAAACAATAAAAAAATACCTAAATCCATTTGTTCTAGCACCACTTCACCAGACAGCAAAAGAAACTTCGTAATTCCTTTGCGTGCACCACTCTTACACAAAACGCAGTCAAGCATGAGGGTCCCAAGCTGTGGAATTCTTTAAACGTCTCTATGTAGGGAGTCCGGCACTTTTCAGGGTTTTTTGTTTGACCCCCCACAAATAGCACCACTAGAAAGAGAATTTAAAAAAAAATTGAATGGTCTAAACTTTAGCTCAATAGCTGTTAGTATAGGAAGTTATGAATTTTTTGTTATTAAAATTAGGTGTAATTAGTCCGTCACTTTTTGGGGGTGGACACAAGTTTTATTTTCATCAATGTATTTGAACCACATGGAGTCTTACTCCTCATTGGTTCCACTTCCAGACATGCCAGAATTGGACATGTGCATGTATACAGTAACAGGACAGTTGAGTTGGGCTTGAAACTTTCAGTGACATGTGAAAGATCACTGAAGCATAGTTTTGATGTGATATACATCTATAAATAAAAATAGGGAACCCAATCTGTCAGGGTGTCGTAAGTTATTTTAAGTCTGTTCGTGTTTGACAGGGTCTCGTGATAACATCTGATTGAAGCAACATGTGTCGTTTATGCGCTTGTTATTTGCATCTTGCTGCCCGTGCACCATGCATCAATCTGATGCACAGGCATACACCATATGAGCACAGTTGTGCAACAGCACCCCAATACAAATGAGCTGTTCAGCACCAGTTCGACATCGATTTTTGATCAAAAAAAATTCCTTTTCTTTCTGAAATTCCAAGCTTTCAAATGAACACCATTTCATATACATGTATGTTTCATCAACTCCTTATACAGTGTACATGTTTTTTTGGGGATTTTCAACAGAAAAATGCACTTTTTTTGTTACCTTTTTGTAAGTCTTCACAAACCAAAACAAGGCTTGACGGTGCTTCTGTAAAATGCCTTGAGTCGTACATCAAATGAAAGAGTATTTTTAGCTCTACAAGATGCTGACATCATTGTTCCAAACCCAGTCAAGTCTCGCGAGATATTAGGCTTAGACGAGACCACGTCACACAACAACAAAGATGGCCGCACACAGTTGTTGACGTAGTGTAAGTGGCTCCGATCTTAAATTATTTCATCAAACTTTACACCCAAAACTCAATGTACATGTACGTATTGATGTACAGGTACTGTATGTATTGTTGCTGATTCCATAGCCCTGTATTGTGAAATCGGCACTCGTTCATTATTGAGTAACTACAGGTACATGTACATGCTCCTATTTTGGCGATCACCAGTTTAATAATGTACATGTATGCTTCTGTATACTGTTTTTCAGCCAGTTTTCAGTAACGAGCTTGAGTGATTTTGTGTTAATGTTTCGAATGCACTTCTTTTCACAGGGTGAATAGCGTGAAACTGTGCGGAGACATTTCCAGCATACCGTCCATTATCATCAAAACTTTGGAAGGACCCTTTCTAACACATCATGGATGAAACTGAAAATTCTTTTTTACATTTTTTGATAAACCGCTGGTGAGAAAATAGCCGATTTTCGAGGGAGGTAGGGGACGTGCTTGGTTCACAAGCACCAGCTGTTCCGATTTAGCCTACACACTGGCGGATGTTGAGCCGGAGCAGTGTTGGCTAGACGCAGTCATTCCAAGATGGAGGCAGAGAAATGCTTGTATGCCTATGACTATGTGGACCTCAAGGACAGAGAGTATGTCAAGAAACATGCTAAGGTACGGTAACTACGTGTAGACTCCCCTGCCTTTCTTGTTGCTGCCAGAAGAATTGCCATGCCCACTTGGAATTTTTGTCTGAAATTGCCTTTTTTTTCCTCCTGTAAGGTCACGCCGATCTGCATGTAAACAGGGCAGGGGTGTGCCAGTTTGCAATTTAGCGGTACTTTTTCAACTGTACATGTATTTGTACAACACACGTTTATGAGAGTCACACATCTACCAATGAATATGGGCAGTCCAGTCAACAATCCCTGAATGGTTTGGACTGTCAGGCTCTCGATGTCAAAATGTGACGTGCACTAAGGTGGGGATAATATGCGTTTCTATTGACTAATGACCAGTGGTGTGAATTCTCTGCAGATAAAAATGCGTGCACATATGCAGATTTCAAGACAGAGTTACCAGTACATGAATGATAATGTACAGATGGAGTCTAGTAACGTCATTTAAACTTGATCAAGTTTGCATCAAATCTCTCAGTGAATAGGTTAATTTTTCTCCTTTTTTAATTGTACGGGTTAATTTAGTGCAGTGTGTTACATGTATGTCACAGCTGCTGCTGGGTATTTTTGCTAGTGTGTTGTGCCAAAGTGTGATGTGATACCAAAGTGTGCTATATTACTGGTACACGTATGTAATCATGTTACCATGTTACGAGGCATCAAATGGAACAGTGCAGGTTAAAGATGGGGCTGACACACTGGCTGCATGCACATGCACTTGTATTGGTTTTTACTGTACAAGACTGCATGGATATGTTCAGTGCAAGACTGTTTGTCCTATTTACTGATCTTGCCCTGTGGCTGACATCAGGGCTAATGTCAGACACTCGTGTAGGCTACGGGACTGTGCCAAATTTGACAGTTCTACTGTACATGTCCCTATCTGCCACATTCATTACTCAAACATTTCTACTGCAATAATATGCAAGTGTTAAAGAATCTGTAATGTACATGGACAGGTACATTACCTGTGCATGTACATACATTGTTGCCAAGAAGTGGAAAGAGAAAAAGTTATGGTCAGACCTGACGTCTTCTTCCATATAGTGTGCGTTATTATGGGCCACAGAGATTGGTGAGATCTTTGAGTGGCAATGTGGGACCTTACACCCTACAGTTCATGGGTCCCATGGAAATGTTTCAAGCAGTGCTGGTTGCTTGGTTACTCAGTGCTTATTCACCGAGTGTGTTTGATGTGCATTGTCATAGGTCATAATAAATTTACCGCAGTTTTAGTCTGGGTGGCTTGTTTTGGGTGAAACAGCACAATTAAATGCTGAGTTTTACACGCACAGGTAAAGTCAATAAGCCTTTTGCAAGTTATATTTGAATAAAATCCTGTACACTGAATTCTTTAAATTCACTTGAACATAACAATTAAATTCTCTGCACTTGAGGCATTGTTGCCATAGACACCACTAGTACCTTGTGATTCGGGGCAAGCTTTTGCTTAGATACACAAGAGATGCCTTACACCAATTGTTTACAATGGGAAGAAAAAGGACACCAAGGAACCAGCCCATGGTGGTCGCTGTGCAGGAGCTTGCCTCGAATCACTACATGTAGGTTATAGCAACAATGTCTTTAGTCTGGGGAATTCAAATTGTTATGTTTATATGCAATCAGATAACTCAGTGTACCAGATTTTATTCAAATTTAACTCGCATTAAGGCTTGGATAGAATAATGTACCAGTACATAATTTTGTGTGTCTTGTTCCCCGAACCAATGCCATTCATTATTTCTTCAGATCATCATTTGGACGTGTCCAATGTGGTGATATTCTGTTCTGTTTTGAAATCATTCAAGGCAAATAAGAAATGTACACGTACATGAACATGTATTAAGCCCAAATGAGCAAAAAGTTAGTGCCTTTTTCATACATGTACATGCACATACTTCCAAGAGACATGTTGATCAACAGACTTCCCTAGGTCAGGGTCTTTTCTGTAGTGTGTCGATCTTCAGAGATCATTGGGCACAGACAGTTATAACCTGTTGTCCCACTGTACATGTCTGCAGTTGTCAGCCTACACTGTAGCTTTGTTTTGTCTGTCATGTCTGTTACTTGAGTGCCGTCAATTGATGGGAGGGTTTTGTGATATCCCCCTTTGATCCTTGAAAGGAAACACGCCGTTGAGATGTTTCACACATCCCATGTCTATACCTACTTACATGTAGAATAGATCAATAGTTTGTACACAGTACACTCACGGCTACAGACCCTGGCTCTAACGCTTTCGTTGCTGAAAAGGGGACTTACTTTGTTGGGATCTGCTCTTTGGGCTGTGCGTGCATGCAGAGCCAAGGGCCTAGACAAATACATACACTGCCAAACAAGAACCTTGAATGCCTGTTGCAACAAAGCGTATTTAGAATCAATCAGTAAATTGCAGTGGTAACAATTGTACTGTTCATTCAAATGCATTGAAAGTTCACTTTTTATTTAACCCCAACAGTCCTCAGTCCCCCAGGTGAGGGATCAAGAACCCAGTGTCAAGGTTATGTACATGTATATTGGACTCGTGAAATACATGTCAGAAAATTTTGCCAAAGTTACATTTCTAGAACTGTGTCTGACATGAAGTTAAAACTCAACAGTGCACAGGCACCGAGGTGTGGATTAACATGAAGAAATGAACCCAACCAGAAAAGACAAATTTGACAAACTAATCGGTTTAAAAGGTCTGAAAGTGGGAACAAACTTGGGAGTAGTGTACTCCATGGAAAAACCGGGGCACACAATCTGAGGAAAAATGACCCCTGGTTTGCGCATCAGTGCGAGCAGGATTGAAACCTTGGGTGGGCCCACATGTAACTTACATAACTTGTGCATTTAGGCCATCCCCCCAATGGACAATGAACAGAGTAGACCAGCTGGTCTGAATGCTCTTTAACCAGAGTCCTAGTTGCAAAGTTCTGCAGATGTGTACTGGTACCTTTCTGTGCATTTGCCCTGAGGTTTCATTGTACATGTTTAATTTGAACAGAAGCGTCATCTGGGTGACATTGATGGGAAGCATCGCTATCGACCCCGCCCCTCAACGGCCACTGTCGTCAGTTCGCTGGTCTCCTTAGACTTTCCCGAGACCAGAGCCATCAATACCACCACAGCCAGTCGTATCATCGCTGACCAACGCAAACAGATTAGGAACACTTTTGAGAAGACACAGTGGTAAATAAGACAGACATTATAACTTACAAAGGAAATACTTCAACACCTAGGCCCAATTTTGTGGCGTGACTAAGCACACCGTTTTACACTAACAGTGGCTCTTCATGAAGACTGTAAACAGCAAGTGCTGCAAAAGGCACGCTTACCTTGGAGGAAAAATGTGCTTAATGTAGTGACGACACTGAAAACACTGGAAAAATGTGCGCTCAACCGCAAGCACAACCAGGCCAAGCACCGCCATGAAATAGTGCTTAAGGTTGGCAAACTTTTCTGCCGTAGTAGGCTGGACATTTCTGCCAACTGTTAAGCAACTTTGTGAAATTTCAGGGCCCTGGTGTTACAGGATTTTGATTTTGAGTGGAGAACCTGACAGTGTAGCCACCCCTACCATGCCAACTTTTTACATGTATTGAGCCCGGTGGCTCAGAACTGTTCGAAGATTGAGCTGCTCAGTGTAAGGATAAATGACAATTTATGATACGCTTAACACCTAAAAGGATGTCAAATAGTTTTCCACATTGAGAAAAATATAAAAGATACTCAGAAGTGCATCTAAAGTAAAAAAAAAATCCTTTCCCGCACATCTTAAAACAGCATTTCGACTAGTTGGGCATATCTTTGGTTTCAAATTTTTGGCCATAATGTATTTCAATTGTCAAGTTTCATGGTGCTACATCCAGCGCACAGACTTTGTCCCTTGTATTTGAGAATCCCACAACTATCTAGTCACTTTTGAATCACGTTGTTTCCCCAGGAAGGAGACGTTGCACGGTTGGAGCCGTCCTTCGACGGCAATGGATGAGAGAGTCCAGACACCAGGTTGGTACCATTCGTCCACCACACAAATCAAGGAACAGTGGAGGCAGTTTTGAAGCATTTAATTGATGCACGTGTGGCGTTGTATTATGAACACACAGTCAGGCACAGGCATGATCCTATGGATTTTTGCACATTCAGTTACAAATTGGTGAGTGACACCCTGAGGCACCTGCACACATAGAATCAAGAGGTACATTCTGTGCTCTGGCGTGCAGGCGAGCACCCTGCATACTGGCTTTTATACCTTCAACAGGTTTTCATTGTACGTAACACTGCTTGCACAAGGCTACAATTATTGCATTCATTCTCACGAAAACAAGTTCAGAATGATCCCAGAAACGGTTCCTTGCAGCCAGTAAGCAGCCGAAACAAGTTTCTGGTTCAACGCTGTAATTTGCAAAGCACTCAAATTCTCACGTTCATGATCATCACCCTTCACCTTTACAACCAAAGTCAAAGTCATATTTTGTTCATATCTATGTTTGACAGTGGAAGTTGAACTGCCACAGCGCCCTCAGACATCAGTGTCGGTCAGTGATGGAACGCAACTACAGATGAACCAACTTACCCTAAGGCCATTCAGTACAGGTATGCCAGCATCTTGTTTTGTTTTCAAACCTCTGACTCAGCTTTGCTTATTTCCAGCGCTGAATTCACAGAATTTAACACTTCCTTAGACCCTATAGCTTGATGTACATGTTGCTCTGGTCCAAATTGTTTGATGTGACCTACATATATGCCACTGATTGCATTACATTCTTTTGGTTTCCATTGTAAGGGTTTGAAAATTTGGATGGAGCTTGTCAAGTACACTCTGAAGTGTACAAATAACCCTGGATTGGCTGGGAAATAATGACAAACCTTCCGGCAAGAATGACTGATTGTACAAACATAGAGAGATTAGGCGTAATCAATGAAACCTTCCAGCAACTTTACCACAGTAGAATATGTTGTAACTCGTCAAATCCCAGGAGCCATACGGAAGCCCTCTCGCAAGCCGCCCCAGGCGTCCGGCTTCATGTGGGTGCGCATGAAGAGGCGCGGCAGCGCAGGCGCCAATCTGCAGTTCAAGCGCATCACAGAGGAGATTCGCCTCCAGTGGGAGGAGGAAGACAAGAAGCAACGGCAGGACCACCGGCAAGAGAAGAGCCAGAGCCCCCGGCGCTACGACGCCTTTGCTGGCCAGTGGCTGACGTTTGCCGCCGGCGGGATGGACGAGCACCATGGCCAAGGGGAGGAAGAGGGACGCGGGCCTGACTCAGGTGGGGTGGTAGAAGCATTCACCGGTAAGTTGCACACAGCAGATACATGGACATGGAGCTGCAAAGGGATATTCCCAACTAAACAAAAGCATCAAATTACAATTTGCACATTGAATCCGTAGGGTCCCATCAAACGGCATCAAAGTATCAGGTGGCCATAGATCGGCCAACCATTGCTGTAAGCAAGCATTTTGGTTTGTGACTGTGTATCATAAGCTGTAAACTTGGTAGTGAGGCTTATTTTCATGAGAAATGGCATGAAGTATGCAATTTTCTTCATTATTTGGCATAATGGACATGGTCACCTCTATATGGTGGTTACCATTCAGAGCCAATATAAGTACTAAGTGCTAACCTACATTTATGTTTTTGTCATATTGGTATATTTTTACATTTACAAAGTTTGACTTGCTTGAAAGCCTGCCTACTTTGTAACTGCTGTGCATGGTGCCGTTGTCTTTGTCTATTGGCAGCAGATGTACGTTGAGCAACGGGGACCAGTGAAAGCTATAGTACCCATTGTTGGCCCACATTAAGGCGCCTTTCCAAATGTGGGTAATTCTAGAAATAAGGGGGCCATATTTTTTCGTGTCCCTGTCACATGTGACATATGATTTTGTAAGTTCAGAACAAATGTTCTAATTTTCAAGAGTGATGAATTAATGCAAATTACCCACCAAACAAATAGTAATAGTTTGAAACTAATTCCGATGGTATTTTCCATGTCAAATAACAAAACAAAAATGTCACACTTTTGGACCCCTGATTTCTGGAATTACCCATGTACCTTTTTTTTGGTACGCTGTGTATATGATGCGTTTCACTGTCACAGACACAAAGATTGAACCATTAACATAACACAAGTGTGCGTTGCGTTCAGCCATCAAAAGTGCTCCCGGAGTGTGGTGCATATGTTGACATGCACAAAGGCCCATTTAGTCCGTATATCAGACTTGCCATGTGTCTGTGACCTTTCATATTCATTGGAGTCCATTTGATTTTTTTTCTCAGCACAAACGTCGAACCTTATTGCAGGTTTTACTTAATGCATAATTTTTTATGCATAAAATCCCCTGATTGCACGTTTACTCAGTCAAAATGCCAGTAACCTGACCATGGGGTACCAGCGATATTTTTCTTAAAGTTTTAATTTCTTTGCTGATAAATGTTTCAGAAATTACGTCTAAGCTTTTCAAATTTTTCTGTTAAATTTTGAGAAGCAGGTGTTGGTCTTAAGCCTTCTTGTCCTTTTTCCCATCTGATGCGTATCTTTCTCCTTGAAAGGGGAGACCAACTCAGAGTATTACAACATTGAGGGGAAGATAGGGGCTGACGTGGCCAACCAACTGCGCATGGGGAACAAGATACGCATTGGCGTGAATGGCAAGATCCAGTCGGACAGCCTGAGGGTGCGTAAGTGGAGGAAGGAGGTTGAGAGGTGAGTAGGAGGAGCAAATGCAGTGCGCCACCAAGAGGTTGGAACAGACAGGCCGTCTTTTGTAGTATGTTGTGAGAAGCCAGAACTAGGAGCCTTTGCTGCAGTGGCTGCACACTGGTATGCCTCTTCATCCAATATCACACCTTGACCCACCAAAATCCATGAACTCCATGTAGATAGTGGCAGGTGCAAGTTTCGGGTGACTTACCAAAATCAGTGAACTCCATGTAGATAGTGGCAGGTGCAAGTTTCGGGTGACTTACCAAAATCAGTGAACTCCATGTAGATAGTGGCAGGTGCATGTTTTGGGTGACTTACCAAAATCAGTGAACTCAATGTAGATAGTGGCAGGTGCAAGTTTCAGGTGACTTGCCAAAAACCATGAACTTCATGTAGACAATGGCAGGTGCAAGTTTCGGGTTTGTGACCCGCATACTGGTAGGTTTCTGTATGACACAAACTGCCGACGAGGCAGGCATAAGAACCCTGTGTGGATCTGCGAATTTTAGACACTGGGGCAAGAAAATTTGTGATCCTCCAAATCAATGCAATATCAATGTAAAATTTGGGAAGGCTGTATTACTGTGACATCCTTGGAGTAAAGGTCAACCTTGTGCCTTACATAACTCAGAATATTGCAGATCCATTAAATATTGCAGATCCATTGAATTATGACTGTTATATTTTGTTCTTTACATCATCTTGTGGGACCCCGATCAGCAAAACTGGTCAACTCAGGCGAAACATGATCTTGGTGAATCGCTCTTGGGTGCGTGACATTTGCATATAATGCCATGTACCAGTCAGTGCTTTCTTTAGCTGCCCGTTCATCGCTGTATATGGACCAACTTCTCCTACATGAAGGGGACCATGCAGTAAATTACTGTTCCGTTACGCATTTCCTTGATGGTTAGAAGTGCTTTATAACAATTTAATTGAACACTTTATATTCTGAGGAACAACGTACGCAAGGCACCTGTACCCGGTATTTAGGTCGTTCAGATTTCAGTCCCACATTTTCTTGTTTCTGTTACATCTGACTTACATGTGCATGTATGACTTTGTAAATTTCAAAACACATTAATTTCCAAAAGTGATTGAGTAAAGCAGATTACCGGCCAAAAAATAACAATACATTAAAATCAATTTCAGTGATATCCCTTGTCAAATTATGCATATCATTTGCTGAATATGTGAAGCATCAACCTCATTCCCATGGTGTCAGGATGTACAGGCTACCTGCTGTCCTGATCTGATATTGGAAAACTGGCATGTTGAGAAACTCTACACATGTAAATTAGGAATAGTCTGGTGCCTGCTTATAGGTTAAAGTTAACATTCATTTTTTGTAAGTGATGTCTAGTTAAACAGGGTCAATTTAGTGCAGCATTTCAGATTGGAAAAGAAAGTTGTTAAAAATAAAACGTGTTCTTATCCATTCACTATGCAGTTTCACAATTTATACGAATATATGAAATGAACTCTGTTGTTAACGTAAAATTATCATTGTTCCATGCATTGGTCCTTTAGGGCAGAATCTATCGCCTCAGACGACTCCTACAGCTGGGCCGATTCAGATTTTTCAAAGCTGAATGGCCAAACCACCAAGTTGATGAAGAAGGATTTATCCCCAGTGGTTCCCCTGTGTTGGGACGACCAGCTGCACAGGCCCGACGTCAAAGTCATTGAAGTCAAGGACAAGCCCTCGCCCTCTACCAAACCGGTGAGGGTCAAAAATCCTTCCTATTTGCAGCAAACGGCAGCCAGAGTCGTAGTAGAAATTTAGGTCAGGAGTCATATCCCCCACAGTTCATTCACGAGTCACTTCTGAATTTACGGCAGGTACAAGGCAGCCTTACTTTGTTGTGGAATGTCCAATGATAAAAATGTATGGATTTGAATACCTCATTAAATCATATTTAATTCTTGTCCTGTTCTGCCTGGTTTTTACAAGAACATGTCTCGTGTTTGGCATTTGTGTTAGTGAAATGATCAAGTTGGCTCAGATTTGTTACTGCAACAATCTAACACTGCCTGTAATCGAGGTTTGCTCTTTTGGTGTGTTGTTTTAAGGATCTTTCTGAGAGGCATCCTGTTGTCTTTGAGAAACTCGTCAAAGACGATGCTCGCCCCAAGAGGGGACCCAAGCTGGAGACCTATCGACTGAGCCATCGCACCAAAAGCAAGCGCAACCTGGACGGCACGGAGAGCCTTAGCAACCGCATCACTGTCATCACCGTGGACCAGGTCGACGAGGACAGGGAGTCCCTCTGCTCTCTGGACTACGAAGAGATCCTGCAGAGAAGCTTGGAGGTTGAACCGGCCACAGAGGATGAGGCCCCGTCCCTGCTGCGCCACCCGGAGGATGGCCAGAAGATCGCACCAACAGATAGGGTTTTGCTGTCTCCCTTTGCCGAGGGCTTGGTTGGTGAGCCCAGGAATGGGTCAGTTTCAGGGATCAAACCCTCAGGACCCAGCAGCAGTCCCCGTCACTCTGCTATCAACACTGACACGAGACTGGTCACCCGTAGCATGACCCCTAAGCCCCGGACTGTGCCCTTGACCAGTCCGGTGCCAAGCTCCCCGAGCATTGTCAGTGGCCGGCCTCGCACTGGGTCCCAGACTTCACAGCGGGCCCAGTCCAGCGGCAGCAAGGGGCGGTACTCCTTCAGCCAGCCCCCAACACCTAGGAACCTGAACAGTCCCCACCCAAATCTGGTCAAACCAGGACAGCTGCCACGGACGGGAGTTTCCAGCATCAACCCAGGGATACCGGAGGGAGAGCACGAGTATATCAAAATCTCCCAGCCTATTCTGCCCGGGTCGGAACGGACTCAGTCCCGGATGGACAATTTGGCTGCCATCGCCCGCGTTGGAGAGAAGAATGCCATAGTGGAGGACTACAGGGGCTCCTCAGTGAGCTTGGGTCGGAATCCCTCAGTTACCAGCTTGGACAGTATGGACAGCTTGAACGTCCAGGGTGGCCAGGTTGTCAACCAGCTACCGGATGACCTGACCGAGCCGCCGTGTAGTTGCAGCCCCGAGGCCAAACGGGCAGTCTCCGCAGCCCTATCGCGGGTCTCCAGGGACTCTTCAAATGTCATCAACATTCCCACGGCTGACATGAACATGAGTATGTCCGATCTGAACTCCATGTCAGATATGGACCCCCTGGCATCCTACTCTTCCTTCAGAGGAAGCCTTAGCTCCGATGTGGCAGCAGCAGAAGCTGATCTCATGCCAGAGGAGGAAGCAGAGACCAGGGATCTTATCGATGAGATGGGTAGTGAGCAAGTAGATAGGGCTACCCGAAGCCTCGCCTCCAGTCCCTCATCGCAACACCTGCCATCTCCAGAGAGACAAGAAGTGGGGTACATCATCAACAAAGTGGATGGTTTGGAGTTGAGGCAATCCCCTGGTGAGCCCCGTGAGGAGTCACGGAAGACAGCCTCAGCTAAGAAGCCCAACCGGACTGTGACGTTTGCTGAAGAGATCCAGACCCCCTCCGTCCCGAACTGTACCCCGGAGTCCACGCCAAGGGACCCAACGGACGTCGACTCTGTGAAAAGCGAAGTGGATACTGACGACAGCAGCAACAGGCCCCAGAGCAGTGAATCCAACCAATCTGCAACTGATGAACTGAGTGTTCTCAGATCCAAGATCAAGTCAGACTTGGTGGAAACCCAGCGGGTAACGCAGCATGATCTAGCTGCCTTAGAGGCCCGGGGGTATAAAGGGAAGGGAGAAGATTAAGAGGGGCTTCCCTGATATTGTCCAAATTTTTTTCGTGATCAGTCAGGTCGAATGCCTGATACACTGAGCTTAACCACAACATCGTCCAACGGGTGAAGGATTAGGGACTGTTAGCGTGAATCTTAACATTACATGCACACTGCACTGCGTGTACATGTTCAGTCTTCAAAACACTTCATCTGAAGGGGTTGAAAAGAACACACTAGCTGGGAAGTGAAGACTTTCATTGCAGGGTTTAAGATTGAGTCACTTCAAGTGATTGAATATTCTGCCCTTCATTTGAATACATGTATTCAACCTCTATTCAAATATTAGGTTGTACCTATTGCCCACAAAGAGAGAAACAGAATGTAGATTATTGTGTGGTGGGCTACCTCAGTGATGTTCATGTGCCCATGGGGAATATTAACACTTGGCTGACCTGTCCTTTGAAAAGCGGGTATTTTGCAAGAACGATGTCAAATTTCTTGCAGCATTGCAGAGAAAATGACCTCAAAACATCTGTGAAAAACTCCCATGAGGGCTTGGCGTAGTAAACAAATGCACTGCAACAGCATACATTTATGTCTCTGAGAAAATGGACAGAGGACAGATTCTTTGCCTGCCCCTTTCCATCTCATGTTACAGGGTTCAGGGTTGAATAGAGCATGTGTGGCATGTAGTGAATGGTGTGAAAAGTTTAATGTCTTACCTTGAGTTAACCGTACAAAAATTATCAAAGGTCTTAAGAGACAATATGTACGCTGCTCAGGATCACTTTGTAGGGGTTTGCCATTTGTGTGCCAACTCTGGGCAGAACTGAGAACATGGAAATTGAGAAAATTCTGGGCAGTCATAAAGTAAGGAGTTCACAGCATGCCGATGAGAATGGAACTTTTCCATGAAATATGAAAATTAGACAGGCGCACGCGCACTTCTACTGGTTGGCAAGCGCGGCTGTCAACACTGTCGGCAGCATAGGAGAGCTGCTCTAACCATAACCTGGCACATCGAAGGTCAGTCAAAACTGTACTTCAGCCTTTGTTCGATACTTGACATGCTTTTCTCAAAACTAAGCCAAGTTTTCAGTGTCCTGAGGTTGGAAAGTAACAATTCCCTGCCTATAAGTTTGGCACTCACGTCAAACTATACTAGCACAGAAAGGCTGTGTATGTGCTCATGGAGATTTGTAATGTTATGTCCTAGATTGAAGCCACTTTGCTAACCAGTGGTAGTAATGTGCATGCCTCTGCCCTATTTCCATATTTTATGGGAATGGTCCATTCCTTTTCTGTTGAGAAAAACACAAAGGACAGTGAGGAATGAAATTTAATTGTGAAGTTATTTTGTATACTTTAACATGCAAGTTACGATTTAGTTCCAAAGTTTATAACTGAAACCAAAGTTTTTTGCGTGTTGTGTGTGACTAATAAGGTGTGAAATATTTATGTGTTAATTTTCTTTTTGTCTGTTTTGGGCAATAGTTTTGTGCAAGCTCTTCTGTATAGAGAGATAAATTTAGCTTTAAAAGTGGACATTGGCATTTTGTTTGCATTGTAAATATGCTTGAACTTTTCGTTTTGTGATAGAAGACTTTGTTGATTGTACAGTATGGGAAATGCAGGACAGGACATCCTGGAAGACTTTTTGGCCTGAAATCAATTTGATACGAGGCTGAGAAAAACTTGTATTTCCATGGTAACATCTTTCAAAGTTTTGTCACAATGGATAGGTAAGGAAAATGTCTTTCTTTGAAACCTTTTGAAATTCAGGTTTGTGCTTGTCGTTATACCAGCATTGTTTATTTTGGGATACTGTCAATAATATTTTGTTCAATTGTTACTTTTAATAGACAGGGTACCCAATTTCAGTCGTACATATTGTATACATTTGAAAGCATTAATGGGATGGTACCAGGTGATTCTGTGGCTCGAATTGAAATCATAGAATAGAGTCTGGTTCCTTATTTAACGTTTTCAAATGAATACGCTATGTTGGGGAATCTGACTTAAATTGGGTCTCCCGCAAATACAGTCTGTTTGGTTGTTACATCATGTAGCAGACTTGAAGTTCTTTTACAGTGTTTTCTTCTGAAATATTTGACATGCATACTGTAGAAGGGCACAGCGGTAGGCTTACAAAGCCTGGTTGATCTCCATTTGTCAAGCCAAACAATCTGTACTTATGATATAACACTGTGTTTACAGCAGTGTATGGTGGGATACCGGTAGATAAGGGGCCATTGGTGCATATGTCACCATGCACTGCTGTCATTTAGCTATGAGTATGTTTCCTAATGGCAGTTTTTTACAACCATTATTTTAAATCCTCCAGGGAGTTTTGACCACCAGTGGTCAGTCTTGCTTAGTACCCAAGATATATTTTGTGGGAGAAACGGCCATAGTTCAATGATTGCTGAAACTTGCCCATCGGTGTAAGGCAGGTGTACTTAATGGGTCAGAAATCTGGCTGTGTGCACGGGGCCTTTTTTTAAAAGCCAGAGTGTGTTGGATAATGAGATTAATATACACTCTGTCAGCAGCCTTAATTGCCAGCAATTAACTTGTACCAAAGGTAGTCACTAGCTACACTGCAGCAACTACCATACATCCACTTCCCATGGATGCGTGTGTACGTCCAAGCCACAGGCAAGGTTTCTTAGACAAAGCCTTACAAACCTGCATAGCCAGCGGGAATGCTTTGGCTAGTTTGGGTATCAGGAGTGATGCTGAACAAACACTTTCCTTGCCTGGTTTTTTTTATTGGCAAATAGATATTTCAGTTGTTGGTTGTATTTTTGTATTTTTTTTTAACAGCAACTTCAGTATTTTGTTTATTTCAGGAAAATGGTGTTATTTGCAGACAAAACAAAATGGCCTTCGAACAAACTTATTCTGCGTATGTTGCTGATTTATTTTAAATGGACAAATACGCCCCTGAAATTGACTTCTAGTTTTGTACTCTTCTTCAAAATTAGTTAGAACTGGTGCAGAGGACTTATTGTAAAATCTTTCCAGTGTGGCATAGTTGAAAGGGCATAAATATTTAATTGAAATTAAAGCCTTTCTCAGCCTCTGTGATTTTTCAAATGATTTGATATTTCAAATGCGAATCAGATCTAGTCTTGAAATATTTTATCATGCCTTATAACTCCTTTCCTTTGTTGCCAAGATATGAAAAAATAAACATGAAAAATAGATTCAAGGCACTCAAATATGAATAAGACTGACCTTATCTCACTTGTACCTATTTTGGTGATTATTTTTGTGGGGTTTTGTGGCAAATGTGGGGCTACACCAATCTTTACACAACACCCCATCGCGTTATATGAATTTCTCAACAAATAGCCACATGGCTGTGTAGTGTGATAGAACCATCTGATGGAATGCTGAATTTCTGGTATAAAATGCTGCTGATACAAAGATGCAATTCAAATGTGCCGTCAAACATGGAGAGGAATTTTCAGGACAGAGGAACATCAGCTGGAATACACACTAACGCGTATTACTGCATGCGCATCTTGTGATTTTCTGCCAAAGCGAGTATACCTTGCACGATATGCGGCAAAGGGGGACCCCCCCAATGTGATGCACAAGCTGTGTACCCTAAGGCCATTGTGCCTACTTCACCCCCCCCTCGGAAATCTTAAAGGAATTCCAAAGATTCCATCAACACAAAAGAAAGCACAATAAAAGGGGGGGTCCCCTTTGCCGCATATCGTGCATTATATGAATGTAAGAAGAGAAAGTGGGGATTGGATGTTTTCAATCAGATGACGAGGATTTATTCAGGTGCTGTATGTAAATACACCAATGAATGCTTCACATTTGAACAATGGAAAGAATTCATTGACAGATTGTTCCATTTTCACTTGGTTTCTCCTCATGAAATGGAATCCTTCACCTGCCACTTTATGGGATTAATTTGACCACTCCACTCATAGACATTCATTGTAAATGAGTGCAACCATCTGTTGACTTTCAATGTTTGCCTTGTGTTACTATTCAGCCAGCCCACCAGATTCATAAACATTAATCGGTACGGTCAATCTTTAGTCGTGCATGCATTGTATTCATTTGCAGCAAGCAAAGTGCTCAAAACCTTAAGAAGAGTGCCTTACAACTAACCTTGTGAAGTTGCAACTTGATAAACGCTGTATACTCTGAGAACAATATTCTAGGATCTCAATTTCAATCAACATTTGCAGTCGTGTTTTGAATTGCATCAAATTCATCATCTGTGACAGTTCCACTCATTCAGCCGATTGCAGCTAGGCACCGACTTTTGTGCACTGAACAGATTACAGCAACTGCACGTCTGCTTCGCTGAATTAAACATTAACCCTAACCTCCAAGGGTGTATGTAAAAATCGTATTGAAATTGGAGGATTTGGGACTGTTAGGGTCAACTACTTTGGCAAATTTCCCAAATGCATCTTTTGACACATTGCTGGAAATGCCCTTTTTTATAGGTTTCATCCAAAGGACAGTTTGCTTGAAAGAATTATTCCATAGGGAGCTTTATCCCTTGACAATCTTTCATTTCCTTTAAACAAAGAATGTCCTCCAGCAATGATAAGGCCAGTTACTTTATTAAAGGCTGCAAATGTGGGGCTGTATTTGTAAAGAGAAACAGGTCCAGGAACCAGTTCAGAAAATTTAAGAATTACTAGAACATCTGCAACCAACCCCAAAGGAAAAAAACTGAGAAGGCCGACGATTGGTGCCAAATCTACATTTATTGGTTATCAAACTCATGTTTTTCAACACACACCGTTAGTGATCACTTCAGAATACGTGGGACAAACATTAATAGTGCTGAAAAATGAGCCAATTATAGTGGTACCACTGTACTGTTTCGTACTGAAACTGAAAACGAGATATTTCACACACTGCATGGTTCTGTAACTGTTAGAAAATGACTTTTTTGCAAGCAGATGGTGAGAAATGATTAGTACCTGCTCACTTTAAAATGCCTTCATCGTTGACTGAACAAGCTGATGAATATCATTCTGATAATTTCAAAACCAATTTGAAAAATTTGGTTGCTCTGGACCAGCGCTGTAGTCAAGACCAGACACAAGACCATCAGATGGCCATGCACAAGACCAGACACAAGCCCATCAGACGCAAGTCTTGTAAAGAGCAACAGGTTGAACACTGACAAGGGATGCTTTCGTTGCAGTTCATTTAATGGCTTGTGACTTGAATTCAGACTGGAGGTTCTAGCATTAGTCTTATGGGGTCTTAAGATGGTCTCAAGAGGTTTCAACGACAATAAAGCTCCAGAGTACATGTAACAACTGGCATTGATTCATGGACTTGACTTTGTCAAAATCGAAGGTAACACAACTATTTTTATCTTCCACTAAATATATACCACCTACACAAATGTCTGTCTCTAAGACTCTTTCGCCCGTGATTACACCTTCACAAATGGTGCTAAGTGACTACAGAATGTCTTGGTATTTCCCTTTTTTAAATATAAAAACCTGCAAATGAGCAAGGTCAGAGAGTCAGCAGGTTGCACGTTGCTGCCTAACATCTCCACAGGTTGGCAATTCTAATTGATCCCAAAATGCACTCTGCAACTTCAATAGTTTTTGCTTGGATGGACTGTTATTTGGTCTTGTGAAAATGATTAAGAACAGCTGCGACAGTGGCACTCAGAAATTTAGGAATACGTGTAGTTAAAAAAAGGTAGATATCCAGGTACAAACATTTTTGGAAACTAGGCAAGTAAACCTCACCAACTTACCAAGTATTAAAGTAACAAAAACTAATGACTGTATATAAAAAGTGACTAGATCCCACAAAACGAGTCTGAAAGGACTTTATGTTGGTGAAAAATGCTGAGAGTTCCATTCAGTTTACACTGTGCAAGATTCTTCTAGAAACATTTGATGAAAAGTGTCTCAGCACCATCCTTTCGACTCATCTTGTTGGGTCACATCTTGTTCCATTCAGTGATGGGATTCCTGTGCACTGAAGGATTTCTCCAGTAATGGTTGAACATTATACCAGAAGCCATCAACTATTTTCAAAGGCTGGGTGTTTGGTACCTGTTGCGTGCATTTACATGCCGTGCAGGAACCAGGTACCCCTTTGAAGTAAACAAGGGTACCTTGCTACCCATAAAGGGTATCCATGACTGGGAAGTGGACCCTGGTATCAACAGGTGGGTATTCAGGTATCTGGTTCCACTGCCCACCCTTTCTTGCACTCTGAAGCGGAGCTTCACCACCAGAGAAGAGATATGCCAGAGGATAGCTTTTTTATCAGTCTCTCGCCATGCCCAACGCACACCCAAAGACCGTTTATGTACATTCAAATGGAAATCGGGTGTGCATGTTCAGGACATCCCATTCAAAGTGTGAATAAACCTGTGCACACACGTGATGAGCCAGTCCCTACCAAAGAACTGCTTTTGTGCGTCCTGAAAGTGCAGTGATCCTGTGTTCAGACTAGTCCGAGTGAGATTGTCTACTCTTAAAATAATTTTGGCAAGAGCAAATACCCACTTACAAGTTGTCCACTTTGGAAACTGCAAAAGCAGCCAGTACTGACAGTGAAGAAATAATATTTCCTGAATACATGTACTATTAATTTTTCTAATACAAGCGTAGCAAGTTGACATCTAGTGCTGGTATATGCTTATTACAAGTACCCCCCAAATTATAACCTGATTCTTACAGATTATCTAACCATGATCGCTGGCTCCAAATCTTTCCACACACTGCTGGGACAGTATAAACAAAGTCTTGGCAAGTGCATGCTCGTGTACAATGCTCCACTATTCAGCTTCTTGACAGGAGCTGACAAAGGATTGATCCAAGATCTAGTGGCTTCTCACTGTACAGTCGAACCTCGTTACTAAGAGCACTGTTAGTACAAGATTCTGCTTCTGTTAGTACAAAATTTTTAGGTCCCAATATTCTGTTGCCATTGTTTTCACTCCGGATAATACAAGGCTCCTGTTATGACAAGGTAATTTGCTAAGTCCGAAGGATCTCTTATTAACAAGGTTTGACTGTATGCTACTTGTATACCTTGAATCCCCCTCCCAAACAAGTACTGTTTACTGTGAAAAAAGACTTTTCAAAACTTCTGAAATGAGAATTCACCTGTTTTATTTTTTTTTTGGGGGGGGTAATATACAAACGCACCAAATGTTAGAGCAATACTAATGATGGAATACCGACTTTTTAAAAATAAACACATCTTCCTCTATTAGGGACAACTGTGATAACCATCAAACACAAAATCAGAAACCACAATCACAGTCAATACTGGACAAATGCGTATGCGGGCAGGGCATCACAATCACAATGCCTGACAAAGAGGTATACCCAGCAAGACAAGGGACGGAAGGGTACCCTTGGTACATGTCCAATCCCTATAGAGACTCTGGAGCATTGTTACCTACCACATCCCCCCTAGATGTCTGTAAAGAATTCCTGAGATTCTGATCAAGCAATGACCAACACAAAGGTGTGCGCGGGGGTGTGCTCTTCGTCCCATATCTTGCTTCATGTGTATGGAGGACTGAGGCACCATTTGTGGCACTGTTCATGACATCATTTTCATGACAGTGATGTGATTCTTGTGGGGCTGGTAAATGGTGGAAGAGGAGTTGAGTGCGCCACCTGTGTTTAGTAAATGTGCTCTCTGGCCTACGTGTGCTGCGTGCAAAACGTTTAAGCTATTCGAATATCAGTCATTGCAAGTACTGTAAGTGAGTGGTACTGGGAAGTCTGGGATTGATGGGGTCCGTGCCGGGATTAAAAAAACAAACAAACATGGAGTGAAGTGCAGAGACAAAGCAGACCAGTATATTATGGACAATATTCTCACATTTTTGTTCCTTCTTTTTGTCGTCTTCTGAAATCTTTGTTGCTCCCCAGTTGCAAAAGGAAGTGAGCCCTAACTCTGCTTGAGGAACAGCAAATCTAGAAAAACATCCCTCACATCCAAACAAACAGATTCCCCAGGAAGTCTGGACAGTTTTCAAACTAATACCTTTAAAATAATCCTTTTGCCAAATACCACAAAAAAATCCAAAGATGTCAAGTGATAGGCTGGTGTAAAAAAGATACTGGCAAACATAAACTCAAATCTCTCCCATAAAAAGTTATTCTTTGCTACCAAACAACATTTATCGGACAACGTACTAACTTGTTGTCAAAGGCCTCAGGGAAAGCACACACTTCATATAGTTCCCTGAAACCCTCTCTCTGACCAACTCTGAAACAAAACTACAGTAAACACATGGTAAAAGGGGACCAGTACCTGTACTTTCATAGAGTGCAATATGTTCAAACATAGGACTATATATGCATGCTTGTTCAAGACGTTACACGTATCTGAAGATTCTTTTTTCAGTTCTTGCTAAAATAATCTTGGCTCTTCTTGACGTCTGGCTTGATGGTCTCGGCTCCTGGGCGCCAGCCGGCAGGACAAACTGCACAAAATATTTGGAACAAGGAAACACCAAACTAGTCACTGAAACTGTACAGAAAAGAGGTGAGCATTTTTCATAATTATGTCAAATGTATGCATCATTGGAGTGTGGCTTATAGTTCGAGTATTCTATGTCGTAACTCCCAACAGAATCAGGGGTTTGGATCCAGCAACTGGTGACATGTTTTGACTTAGGACAAGTCGCTATGCCCCTGGTTGCTTCTCCCCACCCATTAGAATAAATGGGTACCTTTGAAAGTAGAGTTGGTTAACAATGCGCTTGGTTTTGCGACTGTTTATGCCAGAATATCTGTACATGTACAGTTGAACATGAATAACACGAGCATGCTTGAGACGAGATCGCGCTTAAGATGAGCATATTTCTTCAGTCCTGTTCAAAATGTACACATTCCTATGAGAGAAAACTTACTTAATGCGAGCTATGCTAAGACGAGAACACGGACAAGACGAGCACTTTTGCCTAACTGGCAGAGTCAAAAACCATTGTCTATGGCATTTTTAATACGACTACAATTGAAAAGCGTCTTCAAAAGCTTAATACCAGTAATCCCAGTAAGTAAATTCTGATGGAGCGCGTCATTAGTTTTCCAAAAATGCTAATCCGCTCTGCAATTTGCGCTGCGGTTTTACCAACGATGACTTAGCGACTCTGTTCCTTGTGCCACTAGAGGGGGCTTTATTCTAGACGACAATAGGTGTTGCGATGTCATGGCATCAAAGGAGTTTTGATCACAGCGGGTCTGGTCCGAAAGAAAGAGTATTACCTTCTCCATGCTTGTCGGTGAATTGGAAGGCCTGGACCAATCGTAATGTCTCATCTACTGAGCGTCCTACTGGGAGGTCGTTGATGGTGATTTGACGGAGGATACCTTTGTTGTCGATGATGAAGAGACCGCTACAAGAAACCACAGCACAAAAAGCTTGAGTACAAATCAATAAACTCAAGTACAGTAGAAAACCTCAGATCCTGCCATGAATATTTCAATGAATTTGAGTACCAGTACAGACTGAAATAAAAACAGTAGAAATGTCTGACCCCCCAAAAAAGCAAACATTTTCTCAACCCTTTCCTTTTTCTCCTTTTTTGGAGAAAGGTTCAGCTAGAATCAAAAATGTCAAGCCCTCTGAACTTTCGGGTTCGTGTATTTCTTTCAGGTCACCGTCATCAGTAAGCCATGTGCAGCAGTTTTTGTGTTATACTCTACAGGGGAAGAAAGGCACTGACTACGAGAGCAATTACAAGTGTTACAACACCCTCCCCTTCCCGAACCCACGAAAATTGTTTTCACGGAATCCCTGTCATCTCAGTAGGAAACAAAACAAAGCCACATTCACGTAGTAAATTATGGAATAGATAACATGTCCATATCGTCATTCATGAACTTGAATAATTAATAAGTACATGCACCAATCGTTTCTTTGTCATGGACTGCCGAACAGAACGTTGGTTTGTTTGGGGCAGATGACTCCCCCCGACTCAAATATTATTTATTCATTATATAATAAAAGTGATGATTTGTGGCTTAACCTCTCCTCCACAAAGTCACAGTGCACTGTCAAAAAATAGTCTGCAGTGATTGCCATGGGTGATATTCATTTGGCATCAAATAAGGAGTCTGCATTTGTTCCATTTTGTGGCAACGCGTGATTTCAGGCAGAAATTTTCTGTGAATAACCACGGTCTTCTCTGATGAGACGATCTAAACGTAACATTATTTATGGGTTGAGTGGTACCACAAGAAAACAATAAGAAAGGTTTCTTAATCGAAGGGATTACCGACATTATTTCCACTCTCTGCGCACTTTGTGTAGTCCAAGAGAAATATCTGGGCTGCACACAGGCGGGCTTCAGCCCAGAAGACCTGCCTATTGGTGAAGACATCTCAATCACTCAAAGTACGAGTGTGCAAGGATTGGACTGGCTAGTTCAAATCTACTACAACAGTGAGTGCTCTGATTAATGACTGTTGGTGGAAGCAGCAACTTGCTGGTATCCTGTGCCAGGAAACTGTATATTTTTCAAGGGTTTACACAATGTTAAAATGAATGCTTGACAATGCCCGTCTGCGTTCCCATTTAACTCTATTTTCAAAACTTACAGGGTATTTTGGCACATTTTTGGTTCATATGCTGATGAAACTTTGCACAGACGTGAACCAAAGCGTGATGTCATTACTGGAAGAAACAATATTGCAGCAACTTTTTTCAGCGTCAATATTTGCCAGAATTAAGGATAAAATGATTGCCGTCTTAGGTGTACGTACATTCTCTTATCTTTGGTGATTTGTTACAGTGCCACTTCAAGACAGTTCATGCATACTGAGAGCCAACATACAAAAGTCTTCACAAAATATTTTGGGTGGGTAAATTTGCAGTCAACATTTGATCAGAAAACCAAAGCTTCCTAATATATATGTAATGAGTCTTTCTGGAATGACATCACAGCAACCGCACTCTTGTGTCAGGAAAAGCATTTGAAAAATTTACATATCTGAAAATATGCACTTTTCAATAAAATCAACCATAAGAAGATGTCAAATAATTTTCATACATTTAATAAGAGCAACAGTTGCACAAAATTTGTGTCTCCAAAAAAAAAAAAAATCACTGCATGACACCTTTAACGTTAGACATTGCCTTTTCACAGTGGTCAGTTTGAAAAATTCTGATAAGTGACAGGAAAACTGATAATTAAAACTTTGATCTGACACACAATGCCATCAACATTTCAAGGATCCAAAAACAGGGAGTTGGCCTTTGGAAGCTAAGGTTTGGCACAAACCCTTTAAATCAGTCCCCCCCCCAACACTTGTTTCAACCTACCGGAACGACACGCCATCTTCCTCTATGAGAACACCGTAATCCTTGGCGATCCTGCAGCTCTTGTCAGCCAAAAGGGGAATGCTCATGTTGCCAATGCCGCCCTTTTTACGGGGTGTGTTTGTCCTGAAAATGAAGCCAACACCAGCCCACAGGTACTTAGACTCTGCTAAAACACATGTGCAGGCATGACAACCCTTGAGTCCAACATGAACCCGACACAAGGGCGGAAAAGTGAGGCACAGTGAAGCAATGCTTGGACCTACAATGTACTGGTAATTTTACAGCACTGCTTCACAGTCAATGCTGATTCCCGACATACTCACTGAGCCTGCATGAAGACCACTAAGCAGTAAGCACGGAAAACGCAAGCTCTATACCCTCAGGGAGAAAGAGTTGCTTAAAATAAGACACATTACCAGTACAACAGTCATCTCCAAGAGCATGCAACCATCGGCATGTCCAAGCAATCACATCATTACAATCATTGAGAATGCACCTTTAACCTTATTTTCAGAGCTTTTTTTAAAGGTTGTTTGGCGCCATTTTGGTTTGTATGCAAATTACATGTACCAGTACATGTACATGTAGGCAAACTTCCATTTGTATGAGTAAATCTACATACATGGTTCATCTGTAGGAGAAATCCTCAATCTTCCATTGTCACTTTGTGAAAACACATACAATTTGCAGACTAGTACATTCAGTCAAGCAGTAGACTGAAAGCTTAACAGGCCTAGAACTCAACAATGGTGATGCAGATGTTAATGGCCACAATGTTTGATGTATGCATACTTATTCTGGTCTTCAAAGTTTATATGCCGGAACTCACTTTTGAGAGTGATAACTGAAAATTTCTGAATGGGATGTACTGGTAAGGAAAAGTCTACTACGGACTGGCAAGCTGCATCAGCTCTTTTGACCTTTGTCCAGCTCTTTTGGGAATGATTTCTCTCCCATTTCAATCAACCGCATGATCCCCTGCAAACAAATATAGACGAAATGTAAATATTTTTTTCAGATGCCCGTTGGCCTATGTTTTCTTTCTATTTCCCCGAACTTAACTTCTTTCACCATTTTGCCGACCGCTTCACTTAAATAAATGGAACTTCATTTGGAGCACTTCTGATTACAATGACCGGCGTGGCCAAGTGGTCAGCATCGGTATGGATTGGGAAAACAGAAACACAGGCCGGCGGGCACTTAAATCAGTGGACACGGTCCAACACCCCAGTGGGAATATCCCACCCAAACTGAGCTGAAACGTTCATCAAAAATCTGACAATGGTACACCTCGTTAGATGGTGAAAAGTATCGACGTTTTTTCTTCAGAAAAAAAAAAACAAACCTTCAAAAAGTACACTGTAAGGTAATGTGGACAGGGCATGGAAAGAGTACATATGGGAAATCAATAAAGGCTCAATACATGTATATATGTGTACACAGGGTACACTCACCAGGCCAAGTGGCTGTACTGGGAGTCACAAGAGCAAGCCAGCAGCTCACAACCGATATCCCTGAACTCTTTAGCGCGGTCACTGAAGGCGATCAACTCCGTCGGGCAGACAAAGGTGCTAACATGCAACAGAAGAGACAGCATACATGGGATAGTTAAAGATCTAAGTCATTACTGGGGTGATTGGTAAGAGACAAGCCCCTCTTCCCTCTAGTCTCTACTCCCCTTCAATCAAATGATTGCATCATATGTCAATTGTGCATGCACATGTATGTATACACGTACAGCACATGTACTGCAACTACAAAACAATTATAATTTTTCCAAGCATGCAAAATGAGGCAATGCATCAAATGAGATTCATATCAATTAACGTGCCTAAAATCGCAATTACAAAATGCTTAATTTGACAAATGCACTTGAGAAACCCTAGCTTTACTGGGCATGGGCTTTATTCATCAGATGACCCTTTTAGGTCTGACTCCTTAAATCAATCTTTACTCACTGACAACTCTGAATTAGGATGAAGCCTGACTACACTTTTTACCATACAATAAAAACCAGTATGGTGAAGGACCCCAAACGCAGTGAAAATTTATGTCTTGAATTCACGCCTCTGTATTTAAGGACTTCAGGGAAACTTTTTATTCTAAAGCGGAGCATACATCTAGTATGTAGAATAGCCGCCTTGCACGCCGCTGGAATGACTGGCATACTAGTACAAGTACATGAGCACAGTGGTTATAGCACTCTGTCATGCTGAAATGTCCATTACAGTGAGGCAACCCTGACAAGGAGGGGGTGTGTGATCCTGTTCCGAGAACAATGTTCTGGGGGTCGTGTTCCCGCTGTTGGAGTGCAAGAACAAGAAATCCGTGTCAAGAAAGGCTGCTCAAACTCGACCACAGAGTACACCAAGTACAATGTACATGGCTGTGCAACGTTGCTGGAATGGATTTTTAAAAATTAATATGCATGGTTCAATTGCTTGTGCTGCTTGCAATTCAAGCAGAAAATTACTGTGTTGCCAGCCATCACATACAGCACTTGGACGTCAATAAAATCTCATCTACATGTACTTCACTCCACTGTGTGCCACGGGGTATACACTAAAATATGCTGATACATGTATGTTGGATTTTATCCCTTGTACTGGTCAACAGATGAAAAAATAAATTTAAAAAAAAATGGTCTGAGTGAAATGATCTCACAGATCTGGAGAATGACACAGGTCCAACTGTTCCAGAAAAGATAAATGCATCATTCTGAGCACTGTGCGGCAAATCACTGCAGAGGCAGATGCACTGTACTGGTATGTACATGCAGTATTTATCTTTGCTGTGCCGGCTGGTTTGTTCGGCTATCATTGTATCAAGCTTGTGTGCAGTGTTGGTAACTCAATTAGTGCCAGCTGAGTAGGGCGGTTGGCCTTGGCAGGCCATTTGGACCATTTAATAAAGAGGCATCAGTGAAAAATAAAAGAAAATGCCCGGGCTGATTCGGAACAGGATTGATTTGGCTGCGTTGTCCACCTGCGTTCAAATAAGGAAGCTTAGCAAAACCTGCGTCGCCGCAAAATCAACCACCGTAGCAACGCTGGGTTTGAATTGGATTTGAAGCTTTAAAGCTGGCGTTTCTTATCCGTGACTGAGAAAATTGCTACCGCTTAAAAGGTCTCTCGATTCCTGTTCTGTGCGTAAGTGTTTTATTTGTTACGGCCCACTCAACCATGGGAAAAGCTGTTTCTACAAAAAATGGGGAGGGAGACGGGGAGGCTGGCGGAAAGCATTGAATAAACAATTAAACCTCCATGATGTACAGCTCAGAAGAATGATAAGTGAAAAAATATACCAAATCTTATCTGTACTGCCACTGGAAAACAGTCAGATACACGCTGCCACAAGAATTTATCCTTGGCAAGCCTTCGATGTCTTTGTATTTTACAGAAAAAAAGGTCCACGTACAGTATATATATCTACATGTACGTGTATACACTCCAAAGTTGCACATTTACATGTATTATTTAACATTGTTCTACGGGCACTGGGACACTTTACTTTCATACATGTGCACATGCCAGCTGAAAGCGAAAAAAAAAAAGGGTTAATTTGTTTTATCAAGAAGAACTCTTATGTACACGTAAGCATCGGCAGACAATTAAATGGAGTGCCAGCCCACCATCTGGGGGTGTGCAAGCACATGTACAAGTGACAGATGACGATTAATGAGCGGAAAACATAAAAATGCTGGTGCCATCCAAAGTTCCCGGTCAATCATTTGTGTGAGCACATCAAATAGCATTCCCTACATTTTCTCACGTGATGAGGACTGCATTAGTTGACACAAAAGCAAAATTATAGGCTATTAGCATCCTGAGGTCTTTTGATGTCATAACTTATACTGGCCCCCTGTGATAGCCTTTTGTGCAGATATTCCAACATTGAAAAATTTTTGTCACACCTATCCAAATTTTGATATCATCAGTAGGGAGGTAAATGTATGTGTACATGTACATCAAGTATGCAATATTCAGCAAGCATTTGTTTCCTTGTCTGTGCCAGAAATCCTGCTCTACATGTATGTTTATATTACTTATATACATTGTAATTTCATACTTTTTGTGTGTTTAACTACACTGCATCATATTTGATTTTCACTGTTTTCAGCTGTACATGAAATATATACATGTAACATGCCCCTGGGCTCAGGTAAGATACAATAAGCAATAAATCACACGTATGTCAGTCAATTAAAAAAGGCAATTATGTATTCAAACTTCATAATTTTAGTCAACCATTGTGCAAGCCAAAAATTCTCTGCTCTTCCACTTTTGACTCCCCTAGAATATACCGTCCATGTGCATCGATGCATGGAGTTTACATGTACATAGCAACAGGATGAATCCACTAAACTGGGTGCCACCAAAATTAACTGGCTACTTTGCGGTACACTGTTGAAGAAAAACAAATTTTCTTGCTCTAAATATGGCATCTTCCTTGCATTTGAATCCTTGGCAGTGTTTACCTTTTGTTGGACAGACAATCCAAGTTGGAATTTTTGTACACAAGGCCTCCTACCAAAGGTCACTTCCAGCCAAAAAAGGAACTGGTCACGCTATTACTGACCATATCTTCATTCACAATTTCTAACCAATGGGCGCTTCATTTAGAAAAAGATAAAATCAAAATGGTAAAAAGGGGATGGCACTACTATTATTTCCATTTTCTTTATGTGAAAAACTGTTTTTGTTCTTCTCAATTATAATAGAAGATGAAGTCTGTGACAGCGTGACCAATTTCACATTTTGCATGAAGTTACATGTACAGGTACTGCATACAATGTAGGCACACGTGCCTATGTCATGTATGTGGTGTTGCCTGCACAGGGCAACCAACGACATGAACTAAGAGGTACCGGTAATATGCTCGCTGAAAAATGGCTTCTTTAGGCCGATGCCTGCAGTGGTGTAAATATCTTGCATATCTCTCCTATTGTGAGCTTAAACATTTTCAGCAGTCGCCCACCATGACCCCAATAACGTCCGCAGCATTCTTGCCAGGATCCTTTACAAAAATTCTCAAATAGTTGTCTACTCTGTAGTAAAATCAATGGCCGCATTGTCAACTGGTAATATCTCATGATAAATTGCAATCATGTACCGATACATCTCCACTGCATGTAGACGTGCAGACACAGCAGGAAAAATAATGGAATTTTTCATTTCATGAACTGAAACCTGGGTGTGTGCCCACACACACTGCCAACAGTGATTCCAGATGTACAATGTACCCCGTACATGTACATACATGTGGCAGATATAAGTATCTGCCACTGAAGATTAATGTGTTTTACCCAAATTTACGTTGTCCCTTTTCTAATGGGATTAAGAAACCTGTACTGGAAACCATTTGATTTGGGTAATTAAGGAAAGCTTCACTTGGTGAAACAAAAAATGCCTGAGTACACATACGCAGTGCTCGGTCACATGCAGCTTGTGAAAATCACAATTTATACGGTTTCGTCAATGTTATGACAGAATGCACTCACTCTGCACTCACCATCAAGAATCCATTTGTGGTGTACGGTACATCACTGACACATTTAACTTTCATAGGCTACCAAACTCAAGTCAAAGCGGCCGGGCTTCACCTTCATCAATGTGGCAAAATCTTTCTCAACCTCCTACTGGAGTGAGATTTAGAGGAAAATTAAACATCCACAGAACAATGACCAGAGCTTTTGAGGATCCCACAGTAGCAAACCGTCTGGGGTCAATATTTGTACTTCCCCACAGCTCCCCTCCCCTTGAAATACCAATCCCTCGTGCTGTACTTGTACATGTGTGTGTAAAACACCCTCATGGCATACTGAGGACCTTCCAGATTTTATAAAGAGATAAATCCGGAAAAGCCTGATGAAAAAAAATCATACCGAAAATCAGGAAAATCTTGACAAATCTCATCCCGCCAGAGGGTTAGAGTAAACCGAATGTACTGTGGCAGCACTTTCTCTCGCTCTTACATTAGCCATTCAACTCCTCCCCCTACCTGCCATCCTTCCTCAAGCTAAAATCACTGATATTCATCACAACGGGAAAAAAAAACCTGCAGAGGCAGGTGCACAACCTTCATTCCCTCTCATGCTAGAAACCTCAATCAATATCAACTGCAATGCAATCAAAATAGAGGGAAAGCTCTTGATTTCGTTGCCATTTCTCTGGCAAAGGCCACCAATGTACAGCTGTACATGTGCATGAGCCAAATTTACAGACAAGATGCTACTAAATGAGTTTACATAATGTGCCGTTACCTAATTTCCCCCCGGACACAGTTGAAAATGTCACTCCGCAAGTTTGTCACAGTATATCAAATCAGTTGAAAGTGGGGAAAAAAAGTTGCACAAATCAGGGGTCGTCAATCATGATGTTTGAAATTTCAGCTGAAAATATTCCCACGCCTGGAACCAGATCGCCGTGAAATATAGTACCTGTAACATAATACCAGCATCAACTGCTTATAGGGCTGAGTCAATTTGAATAATTCACAATTTGAATATTCGACCTTCAATTTGATCGAATATTCGGTTGTACCGACGGCGACCGGCAGATTGTTGATAAACAAACCATACACAAAATCAGGTGCAATAACGCACACAACTGAACATTATAATCACTTTAATAGCTTCTCACATGTAGGAGTGTCTCCAGTCACGATTTAGCAAGATTTAAGAGATAAACAAGACTTACATCCCTGTCGAAAATTTCTATTCCTTTTAACCACATGCTGCTGGGGAGCCCAGTTTCAGACAAGAATTCTTTATAAGCATAGCCGGGGTGTCCGAAATCGGACAAAGGGAACTGGGCCTTGTAACAACAGACTGTATTTGTAACAAAAGATCAGGCTGCTAGGAATAACAAAAAATTTTTACTGTCAATAGTGGAGATAATTCAGGTTTTTTTGAAACAGTATACCACTATTTGTGGCATTCAGTGCGAGCGGATTTCCACCGGGGACAAAAGCGCTCCACCACTGCAGCGATGAGCCACACAGTACTGCTGCATGCTGATCTGGCCCCTACTGAAAAGACATCAGCAGCACACTGGGCCAGTTTCGGGGACAAAGGAAAATTATGTAATATCATACAATCTGGGCTCTTTTTACAAGGCGGCAGGCCTGGCTGAAATACTCCAGCGTCAATAGATTTTGTCTGTCAGATTAGAGTAGAAACCAGACAGTCCTTCATGTGGGTGTTAGTGTCCAGTAAATAAAGATATGAATTTTTAAAGCATTTTGAAAACAGAAAAAAATGAAAAATACTCTGGTCTAGCAGAATCAACATTTATAAATACCCCCGGTAGGATGTGGTTAAATTGTTTAATGAATATTTTACTTCTTAAATCGTTGTAAGATTTCTGTCGCTTTTCATTTGAATCTGCTTGAAACAAGCCTCCACAGTGCAATGTTTCTCAATTAAAACAAAAGAAAATTTTCCCTTACTTTTCATGAATTTTGCATTCGAACATTGATATTTGAAAAATAATATTTGAACATACGTCAATTGATTGAATATTCAGTTATTTAGATATTCGGCACAGCCTTAACTGGTTAATTGTTACCATAACAGCAACGTTGGATAATTTTAGTAGAGGGACTGGAAATACCACAATGAGCATATATCCAAATGTCAATTGTTATGCCACTGTCATTTTTATTTTCAGCGGGTCATGACAACAACCGCCAGTAATTTTCTGCTGTGCCTACACCATTAATGTTGCATGAGCCTGTAAGATGTGGCTGGCTCTGTCAGCAGTGAATGATACATGTACCCTGGGCATGTGTGTGGTCAGATACGCTTTGCCTTTGGGTCCAGCACACTGCAAATTCACAGTGTACATCCATGAACACTATTTGCCATGTGAGAAGCAGTTGAGAAAGAGTGATTGATTGCCTCTTGCAATCACCAAATGTAAACAAATGCACAGACAGATTAGATTGTCAACGTCTGAAAATGGTTCCTTGCCTTTCCAGTAATACACTATATTGAGAAATAATGCCATTAGCCATAATCCAGGCAGGATCCCCTTTCATCCTTTGTGAAAATTGAAAAGCATTTATGATCATATACATGATAACAACCAGCATAAAAATACATGTAATTTACTCAACGCAAAGCACTTCAGGCTATTTAATCTCTTCATCACCAGAGTCTGCAAACACAAAGTGCGTACACGTACAGTACTTTTACAGTGTGCATGTACTTTTATAAAAGGAGCTGCAACAAATGCTAAGTAAGTGTACCGTACCTGTTTGGTAGGAGAGCCAGTAAGGCAATTTACATGGAAGTCTCCCAATGGGCAAACTTGCATCAGGAGTGGTTTTCCTATGTAATCTCAGCCTCTAATGAATACCAGTCCACCACAAAACTATTGTCGGAAACTGTACCTGGATTTTGGGCTTTTCCAACCGAATTTATTAAACTCAAATTGAAATTAATTTCCTTGCCTTCGCATTGAAGAGAGTTTGCTGTTAGGCCCTCTTGCTACAGATACATACATGTATAAGTAAACATTCAAGGCTGCCATTTACATGTAACTTGGACAAAATTATTTGGGGCAAATGCTGAAAGAAAGTGGAGGGTTAAACAACACTAGGGTCATAACTTGATAAGTTGACAAGTCAATCATTCTGGTTAACATTCTTTTACATGATTAACCTAAACTACTTGGTGAAATAATTCAAACTGCTGATCTCAAATATGTACATGTACCAGTACATTCCACACATAAAACAAGCAGATTGTAGAAAATAACCATTTCAGAAAAACAATTCGCTACTCAACTCCTGGAATCAAAATGCAACAATGCTGAGCACCAAGTGGTTGCCACGGAGAGACCTTTTTCGCAGTGCATTGTGGGAAAACAGTTGGCAATTAAGCTCTTTGCACTGGCTGCGCTGTGCACAGGGAACTTGAATTGTTCCACTGTTTAACCGTCTGAGTTGAAGATTTGGTAGTACATGTATCAAGGCTGATTAATATAAAAATGGTGGTTTTTTTAGAGCAGAATACCCGATCAATCACACATTTCCTCAAATATCTACTCACAATTGCTGAAATGCAAATCACAGCAAGTAGGCAATTTTTTGGTTGCCTTATTTTCTGGTTACCTTAAACTTGAAAAATGGCTTCTTCACAACAACCTCTCGATGGTGCACTTTACTGTGGATCGCCTGTATTGAAAGCTGACCTTGGAATGGAACTCCTTTTCACACTTCTCCAGGAAATTTGCTTCATTTCACAGAATGTGAAAACCATTATCCAACAGTGTGAAAAAAATTTCACGCCTTTCACACAAGTGGGAAAAATATCATCCCACCCTGTCTACTGCAAATGTGCGCAGTAATCCTTTCCACAAAAATGTTAATTCTCACCTACAACGGATGGTAAATGTATGTACTGTATACATGCATCATTCATCTGCTATTGTTTTGTCAAATGACGTACTGATTACAATAAAAGTATTCATTTCTACATATATTGTAACCAACTTTGTGCACATAGAGTATCGTGTTGATGAAAAGTGGCAGATGGACATAACACCTGTGGATATTTTGATCACGCAATACTCATTATGACATACCATTAACAATGGAGTCATTTATTGCTGACAGGTAATTTAATTAGGCCTACATGTAATGTCCATAACTACAAGTACACATACATGTAGTTGCTAGGTCCCTAATATTGTGATGTCCGGTTGGTTTGCAGACTATTAAAGTGGTGATCTTAGGGACCAGGCGATTCTTTGTTACAGTTTTGCTGTTGTGGCATAATGGTTTCTTTCTGTTCTGTATTTTTTGGTGCAGATAGTTTCATAACTCTTGAAAAACTGAAATAAATTTCCCTAGAAAGTCCCCTTGGCCTGGTTGACAGTAGTGGCAAGGTGGTGACCATATCGGTACTAAATGTCAATTTGTCAAAAGCACAACGTAATTGACCAATCATACATGCAGATCCACCAATCCTGCCAAGTATCAGCAGTGAAAGTTTATAGATACAGTGTACTCTCAGATCGGAGAGCAGTGCAGTCGCTGTCTTTGATCATGACTAAGTTCTAATGTTTGTAAATGTTTTAATCTTACTGTAACCATGCAACCCAGCCAGGGCCACTGCATTCTACGCTCCAGTATTCTGATATTATGGAGCTTCACAAATAGTCTGTACAAATGTCTAAATCGGGCACACTGCATCTTTGTAAGAATATGTTGCGCAATTCTAACAGCACATTTCAATATCAGCATGGCGTGTTTCACTTCTGCTCCTGTACATGTACACACAATCATTAATCTTCTGACCATAACCCTGTACACTTAATACATGTATTCATTAATTAGTGGGGATGTTATAAATTAATATCCCATGATGCAAAAACACATACTGTATATGTACCATGCGCCTTGGTTTCTGTCTCGTGTACATGTACCAAAACGCCTCCAGCATATAGACTGAATTCACTGCCACCAGTATTTTTCTTTCTAATCCTTCGCAAACTCCACTCAGGAACAAAAAATGTAAGAGAAGAAAATGTAGTGACGTTCTCCCTCATCAGGAGCCCACTTTTCAAGACCCTCTTCAATGTACTTGTATTTCTTTATACCAGAGTTGGAAGGTGCAATCATTTGACCATTACCTGAATGGATCTTAAGCAAACTAGACAAATCTCAACTTTGGAAAATAACTAAGAGATGTACTGTATGTATACATGCACCATATAATCATGTACATGTATGTATGTGCATTTGAATGATATTTTGAAAAGTGAGATTCTAAGAGAGTGCATCCAACAATTTTCTCTGTGAATATCTTCATGCATGTATGTTCCTGTTGGGGGCCAGCCAAGGACTACCAGCATGACCAGTGAGCAATGGGTTGGGGGGTGAGGATGGGTACACTGATAAACCATTCCCCACCGTCCCACACATTACAACTGAAGCTGTTGAAAACAGCAATGAACAGAAGAGGCACAAAGTGGGCGTGAGTGCATACATGTGAAGTGGAAATACTGTTTTTCAAAATCTTCATACTTACAAATCCAACGGATAGAAGAAGAAAACTAGGTACTTTCCTGTTGAAATGAACGAGGAAAAAACACACTTCAATTGAATTCAGAGAAAATGCAACCAAATGGAAATTCTGTTATCAACAGGATATGAGAAGGAAGTCAGCGTATTGTGAGCGAATAGAAACCAACAAGCCTTCAAGGCTTAATTAAAACGGCTGGACTCAATGAACTAGGCACATGTAGTACATGTACATACCAAATTATACATGTATATACACGTATCCCCCGACAACTGATGAACGAGACAAAAACATGCTGATTACCACAAAGAAGCCATTAGTTTTTCGTTGCATACATTACAAAAATCTCTATTTTCTGTTTTGATTACAAAAGCCATTTTCAAGGCAGCAACGTTCATTAATGCATGAACACATAATGTACAAGATAAACCGTCCTTGTAGTCGAACAATGATCCTGACAGAAAAATTTCTGGCTGGCTCGGCGATAAGACTGAGTTTTCAACATGAGCACACGTGCCAACTGTCACAAAACTTACAGTGTACCAGTAATATCCATTTTAACATTGGATTTCACAGCTACTGGTGCCCAGGGCCTCTTTTACCAAACTAAGTAATGCCTTGGTAAAAATAACCCTTTACTCAGAACCACCTGTAGACTTTATTCCATACATGTTTTCTGAAGAGTTCAAAATAAACCAGGAAAAAGATGGAGGTATCAACGCAAGAGTTGGGAGAAGTGAGGGAAGGTGATATAAGGTCTGTAATGGAGGACTGATGGTTTCACAAGGAGACGTGGCTTACAAAGATGCAAAAAACTTGGACATTTGTCATGTTTGTGTTCAATACAATGCAGCATACAGTGTTCAAATATGTACCGGTAGTTCTATAACCCCAACAGTCTTTTTTGCTAAGCACCATCCTAAGTCCTTCAAAATCCTCCCATAATCCATGCCAAAAATTACATTCAGTCTCAATCTTCCCAACTCCACCGGCAATTTGTGTCACTGTATTGAGGCAGGGCAAACAGTACCATGAAGCAGTATGGATGGTTTCACGTAGAATTTATGCGTGGCTAAGCATCCCTACCAAAAATGGCCCATTTAAACCAATAGATTTCTGAAATGGATTTAATTGGAATGAATTTGGCACAATTGGAAATCATTGGGTGCTCAATTGGTTTCAGTTGGTATGTTTTCTCTCCAGTTTGTTTTCCCCCATCAATTGGAGATTTCAAATGGGATGCAATTGGTTTCAATTGGCATTTTTTCTTTGCTTTTTATTTTCCTCAATCAGTTGGGATTTCAAATGGGAATCAAATGGCTCCAATTGGTTCCTCGGTTGGTTACCGGATTGTGAATTGGCATTCAAATGGTGTCAATTGGTTTGAAATGGTCCAACTGAGAAAAGGTCCAAATTTACTAATCAGACCATTGAACCCAATTGGATTCCAATTGATTCCAAGCAAAAGCAATTGGTTTGGGAATTGGTTATTGAATCGGTGAGTGAATTGGATCCAATGGGTAAGTGAACTGGATCCAATGGGTAAGTGAATTGGATCCAATGGGTAAGTGAATTGGATCCAATGGGAAAGTGAATTGGTCTCAATAGGTACATGAACTGAACATTTTCAGTAGGGATAAACAACATAAGGTCTCACCCACTTTGACACAAAGCACCCTTCCCAATCAGCCGCATTTTTTTTACAGTGTATTCTTCCTTAATCCTCCAAACTACCAAGAGGATTTTGGAGGACTGAGGATGGTTAGGGTTAGTCACAGCCAGTTGGGTGGATCATGAACAGTTACTAATCACTATTATCATTTCTGAATGTTTTTGAGATTCCTTCCATGGTCTGACCATGAGGGTGGTTGCACAGTTGGGGTGTGGAACACACTAATGGCTGACAAGACGGTGGAATTGCATAATGCATCACGGTTTATTTCACCCCTTTGTTTGAAAAGCCAGTTACAACACTCATGTAGGGATAAGAGTGAGTTAGCAAGTTTCAGGCAGATGATATCTTATCTCTGTGTAAGTTCCTGTCATTAGCCCAAGTCTGAAGGGCATATTGGTATGAGCAACAATCACGGGCAAGAATAATATGAAATGCCATTCTCTGAATACATTCTGAAATATAAGTTTGTAACTTTCGTCACCATGGGAACCGGCTCCACACAGGCGACCATCACATTAGCATTCAACTCCAAATGTACAGATTTCAGATGGAAAGGAATCTGGATCCACCTGTCATAGGCATACATCAGACTCCCATAAGTAAAGTCATGGGGCTACGCCCAACCATTATCGACCCTCCAACCAATCTTGTACCGGTACATGTACTCGTACATGTACATGTATGTGGTGAATATTTGAAGGATCTTGGAGGGAAATAGTCTGAGACCACAATAACAATGCTTTAGATTCAGCAAGACGACTGCACCAAGTTTGGTCGCTTTTAAACCTTACTTTGGAAAAGGTAAGGATAATCATATTCCTTTTGTTTTTAACAACTATCGTAATATGCACTGAATACAAAGGAAGCACCAATGTGCACTGAGGAACTAAGGAAGGAAAAACAGGTGGAAGTTGCTTCAATTATTCAGCATTTACTCAGTCCAAAAAAGTAAATTTATCATTTCCACATTTTCCAAAGTGAAGTCGCAACTTGATCACGCCCAGTGCTGTCTTCTTGTTGAAATCTCAATAACTATCGCCACTGCCATTAACAGAGGCTCAAAATGTGATTTCAAACCCTAAAGTCTGACCCAAACTTCCATCAATGACTAGGGGAGGGGGGGAGGGAGCTGGCTCACCTTTGTAGTCCGACAGTTTGATGTCTTTGAATTCCCCGCTGGGCATAACGGCTGGTCCGGAGAAATCCGGGGCTGGCTTGGTGATCTGGCATTTACCGGCTGACATGGTGATTGACTGGGCGGAGGTTTAGCTGTCAACGGGAGAAACAGACATTCTTATTTACTTTTCTACCATGTACATGTAATCATCACCCACACACATGTACATTGTAGGACCCAAACATTCCATTTCACTGATCCATGTTCAAACAGTTTAACTGCTGATCATCTTCATTAAAAACTACACGTGCTCACACCACTCAAACTACTGATTTTCGCGTCATTTTACCTTCATCTGAATCTCCAGTTCGCATCACTGATCATTTTAATGAATAATACCTCTTCATGACTAAAATTGTTATTAATATTGAGCACCGGTATGCATGACAATCAAGGAAAATATCCAAGCCATACGCATACACGTACATTTACTTTTTTGGATTAAATTCCATCTGTTAGGTATAAAACAATTTGCATATATTTACATGTATAAGCGCACGATTTCAGAGCAGAATTACTACACATGTACATGTACCGGTATGTACTACATAGAACGTTTCTGCCTTAGTACATGATAGACATGTACATGTACACATACGGTACATAGCGCAGTAAGTTGCAGATTTAGAAAGGTCAGTGACTGAATAGCTTAAGTGTGTGCCTGATTTTGAAGGTTGCGTTTTTCATAGTCTCGGGCAAGATCTTGTGTTGTTTCTACTGAAATTTAGGAAACAATGTTCTTGAGATCATCTACCCTGCTATGGGATAGCATCAACACACTGATGGGGAATTGCCGCAGGATTTTGATAGATCCAGGTAGTGATCATCACTCCCAGGAACACTTCCAAGAAACAGTGGACGATTTTTCAAGACTAAGGCTGCATCCTGGAAAAATGCCAAGGGAGTGTTTGCAAAAGCAGGAAACTACAACGGAAATAAAATTCAGTCTAGATGCAGTGGGATCACAGTCTTCAATCAACACATGTACATGTAAGTGCACTTGTCCATGTACCAGTACATTGCATACACAGACACCATATACTAAATGTACATGTACCAGTATTATGTGTATTTAATTCATTACATCTTCTACTGTCTGCATACACACATTACACTCCATATCAGTATGCAAACATCATAAAAGGCTGTAATGGTACAGATACAAGTACATGTACATGTATGTATGTAATTATGTATTGTCATACCTCTGTCTCCGAAACAGTCTGTTTATTGGCCCAGAATGATCACATGACAGGACGACGTACTGGTACATTGTACATGTACATCACACTTGCCGTGAGACATCTCATTCTACCGACGGTGCATGCAAACGTGCGCGAAACAGAAGAGCTTCGGGAAGTTCGAGAACAAACATTTGCGATCCTTCAGTCAGTTTTGCATGGTACCCATTATACATTTTGTGCATAGGCTACTAGGGAATTCGATCAATGATTGCCCTCATACATGTATAACAGACTTGCTCCTGTTCCTGCAGTGTATTTATAAGGTAACGTGACTACATAAATGTATTCACTGGTACCCGCACTAGTTTCACAATTAGCATTTACGCAATCAACGAAAGGGAGGGGACAGTGCATAAATTTGCAAACGATATCATTCAAGTATATTAATTGTACAGTTTTACAGTAGGCTTATCGTCTTCTGAAATTCAGAGCTTGTTTCTTTGGATAAATTCCCTAAGACAGGGTTAAGACCGAGCATGCATAGTTCCCTCGGCTTCGCCTCGGGTGCTATGCGTCCCTCTGGTGTTCAAAACATCGTCTCACACCACAGCCGTCAACAATTGTTAAATGTACAACCATGACATATCCCTTCTTTATTTTTTAATACCCAAACGTTGGATGCACACATCTCGCTTCAAATCCTGTCCGCCAGAAATTTACAACATACATGTCATTGTTTGAGAACTTTTGCTGAAACAGCTTTTTTTCAACCTTTTTTTTCTGTAAAGCAGCTTTAAATTCTGTTTTCATTTCACATCAAGCGTGACAGAGATTAAATGAGTATGAGACTCTGCTCCAAAAGATACCATACATGTGCGAGTGCTTCTTTAATATGTCACTTCAAAAGCAAAGAGTTTCATACTCATATGTTTATTTGAGCGTGGACATAAGGTCCTACTCAGCCTAAGACATATCGCGAGATACATAAGGTCCTACTCAGCTTAAGACATATTGCGAGATATGTCTTAGGCTGAATTTGAAAATGCACCCGCCTCAATGGACATGGCACGCTTCCTGAAATGCTTTTGCCTGTCATGTTACGTCACGTACAAAAACCACTATTACGTACCGAAGTGAATAAGTCACGCGCACATTTAGTGTGTAAAAGGCATGAGCGCGTGAACCCAGCGCGTGAACCAACACGCGCGCGTACTCCATTCGTTTGCACTGCACTTTCTGGTTCACAGTGACCTCACACTTCGGTACTCTATGGACCGTCATCCAATGACAAATGATGGTAATACAGTCACCAGCAAGCAGGCCACATGGGCACTGTTAAGTTGCACAATGCAGGCTAATACTTGTATCTCTGGAACCGTACATACCAGTAGTGAAACTTTGTGTGTACATCCAAAACAGGGATATATGCATGCAAAAGTAAATAAAAAGGGATGACCCTAAAAACAGGACTGTGTCTAAAATAAGAGGTAATTTCTGGTGATTTACAAGGGGGTTTATGTGTGCATTGCTCTGGTCAACTGCAAGAAAAAATGGTGGGGTGAGAAATTTACAGTTGATCATCGTTATGGATCTGTTTCTTTCAGTTCAAGGTCAACCGAGGAGGCAAAAGTTTTATTGGACAAAAACCAAAAAGACAAAATACTGCAGTCATTTGCAAAAGTTTAGGACCACCCATACAAAATGCATTAACCTGAAGGAAAACCAAACTTAAACCAATCAATCATGGCAACTTATGTTAATTTTCAATGTGTAACCTTAGTATCTTGGTTACACAGCTATTTGACTACATTGTAATGCAAGCCCAGTGACAGAATAACAATACAATTCCAGGTGTTCTTAAACTTTCGCAAATGACTGTATTGCACAGATAAATAGAGTCAGCTGTTTTAAGGGGTATCATGTTGTTATTTACGGTATATCCAACTTTAATAGTCCGGAGTTACTTGTACCACTAGGACAGACTGTGTTGTTCACAAAATCGCTTTGCTGTCTGAGTGCAAGTCACAGGGGCAACATAAAGGAGAAACTTGTCTGAGAAAATACACTGTGCAGAAGAAAGAAATCACACTATCATCACATCATCACATCCAACAAAACCTGTGTACTGCCATGAACTGGTCACACATTTACAACATACAGTTGGCACTGCATCAACACCACCTAAATGTTGAACTTATTTAGGTACTGAACTTATGGAATGTGATTAGTAATGCAATAAGCAAGTTTCGGAATAAGCAAGCTCGGAATCACGTACGCCGAATAGTTGCGCGCGCACACACTGTACGAACTGCGCTGGAGAATGGCTGAAAACAGTCCACAACATGGCAAGAATTAACATTACATCCAACTACATTTTCCCGATTTTGTCTTTGGTGGTGATGTGTCAAATTTCTTATCCCACCAGCTGTAGAGATAAGGACGCATAGGAGTTACAGGCGTGAAATTGGCTCCTTTGAAAAAGTAGAAATGTTGAAAATTTTAGTTACAAAATTTTTTGCCTGATTTTGCACCTTTCATATCCTGCACTCCCTCCGTAATGCAATACGGTCAGGGAGTCCACCTGGGCTGATGTACCACCAGCCCTGTATCCTGAACCCACTACCATAAATCATGATGGGCATCCTGGCTGCCCCTCCTTACAGAGAAACTTCAGAAGAAAATTTTCAAATGATAGCTTCCCAATTTTCATCTTGAAATTTCAAAGTCTGGCCAAAATTTGTATGAAGTGAGGAAAACGCCAACTGAAGGCAACATTTTTTCCTCGAAACTAGGAAAAGGCAAATTTTCTACAATTAGCAGCCTTGAAGATACAGTAGAATACCCTGTACAAGTAGTGAACATACTGGTGCAATTTCTGCTCCTAAAATCCAGTGGATGTCTGATTATGTCCCCGGGCATCCAAGATAAACTTTTTCGAAAGAAATCACTATGAATCCGGACAAGGCCCAGTATGATATGACCATGACAAAGGAGTATACGCCGGGCCCTGTTCATGGGTCTGGCATGTCTGGGAAAGAGTGGGTTTAACTTTACTCTACCGGTATGACCTTTTTGACTGGAAAGATGCCTTTACTATGACAGTTAGGCCTTGCTTAGGCTGAAAAAAAATGGTGGGGCCTAGGATACGTAACACCTATGTCCAGTGTCCATGGTACAGGTACTGGCACGGATCTCGGCCCTGCATAGCTCATGTCATGGCCTACGCATGATGTACAGTACAGACGAGTGATTATGCCGCCGGCACGTGCAGGGCGCCCGCCACGCACGAACATGGCACGAAGCATGCTGCGTTTAGTTACACTTCCTCACTAAATTCCACATTTTCCACTGAAAACGGGGAAGCCATTGGGGGGCAAAATCTTCGAAAACAATCTACGTATACTCCTGGAAATATACAGTAGAAAACAGTGGCTAAATAATGCATGAAATGTTTACCTTTACTACGCCGATACTAGCACACTACGCCGATCTGTCGCGACAAAAAATGTACATATACACACCGCTATGATCTGACATGCATGACATGATCTGGTCGCGCCGGATCGATCGATGTCGAGGTACCGCGGCACACGTGCGATCACGATATCAACCCCAACTATTTAGGATGATGGAATAGTCCAGTGTAACATTTTGTACACTACTCAAAAGGCACACAACGGAGTACTGTGAGTATTCTTTTTAAAAATTTTTATTGATTCAATCGTACACTTTAGAAAAGATTATGGTATATTTGCAAGCTGTTCAGAAGAAATTAGCCACGGACGAGGAATCGTGGATTCACAAAAGAGGTAACCAATAAATTATGATTTCGTAACTTAACTGTCATTTTTAAATCACCAGAGGGCGCTTCTCAAACAGAAATATTATTATTAT